CGAGAAGATCAAAGGCATTAATAGACGTGTGTTGAAATTTATCGACGTCTCGTGTGTCGAGTCGAGGATGAATTTGGAATAAACTAAATAATTGGTTATCGCTGTCCGCAGCGCGCGGCGCCTGACGCACATATTAATTTGTTTTGATCGCTTATTGGCATAACGGGTATTCTCACACCCGAATCCTTCGATCACAAGTTTTTATATCGCTTCATCACGCATTCAGGATCGGTGCGCACACTTCCAAACAACATAAATTAAAAGTTTTTATATTTCGACGTACCTATTCAATATTAATAGACAATCTGTTGTAACAAACATTTCTCGGAATGAACTGAGATTGTCCGTATTTTCATAAAAAGCTAATAAAGTGCTTAAACTTCGACGTTTTCTCTTTTTACCGAGATCCGTCTTGCGGAACCATAATTACCTAAAAGCTTAATAGAGATCGCAAGTACCAGTTTAGCCGGACATTTAAACTGAGCCGGCAATTATAACCTCAAATCACGTTTGAAGGATTATTGTCTAACGTCATTACGCCGAAAGTTGAAAACATTATGGTCATACGAGATACAATCAAAGTGCTTTGGTGGCCATTTTGTGGATTTATTTAGATCACGTCGCCTTAGTCATAATGGCGGTTTCATAAAAAATCAACTAGCCGCGTAAGGACCGGCTGTTGTACTGTAGGCAGGTCGCGAATCGGAACGTGGGAAATGAATGACAATGACATTTCGAAATCGAAGGAAAACTGTTTATTCAAACATACTATCATGTTTTCGAAATTTAAAGTTTTCGAAAAGTAAACGCTGAACTATATTTTGGCCAATGGGAATCAATAAAAGCTACAGTTTTTAAATGTCAAATTTTAAACTTGACAACTAACTGAAATAGAGGAAAAACTACCTACTCGAAGCATTCGTCCCAATAACTTGTCTAATTTGCTACTTATTTGAGTTAAGCTCTTCCTATGTACGCCTTTAGTCGAAAGATGTAGGTAAGTTTTCACCATCAATCCCTAATTTTTAAGTGATCACTTTGACAACAAAATTCATGTTATGTGTTACCATAGGGATCACTTAAAAATTAGGGATTGATGGTGAAAACGGGCATTAGTGTCATTTCAAAAATTTCAGCAGCCTATCGTCCTGGAAAATTCAGCTTGGGCCGTAGAAACAAGTTTACTAATTCCTGGCGAGCTTGCACAAAATCACAGCACACTAGCATCGTTAGTACACAAAGTACCTACTTGTGGAGTGCTCGCACGCAAACCAGAGAAAGGCGTTGCAAATTCAATTAACGTGACGACACATCGTATAATTGGTAATACACTGACATTCGTTAATTTGACGTGTAAAGCTAACATTCGATCATCTAGCACGTAGACTTCTCTAGAGTTAAACAAGCGATAAAGTTTATAGACACGCTTGAAACGAGTAAACAATTTACGACCAAAACGTCACGTGATCAAAAAAGATAAATAAATGCGCCACGGCTTTTCAGAAAGGGCTGAATTTCAATCGAAAAGCTTATTAATAGGTATGGTATGCAAACCGCAAGTGCGTCCAAAATACACATTTTCCGAATGACACCTTAAATCCGCTTTTAATTACCAATAAATAAAATTCACTTTACATACCGATAAAAGCTGAGCGCTTCGGAAAACAACTTTAGTGCACAGCATTATGGTTTTTATTGTCGATTAATCAGTGCCTGACTTCGCGTGATTCGTCGCATCTAAAATTAACAATATCAGAATAAACCGAAATCGCTAACAAACTGTCGGTTTTAAAATAAAATTTAAGGAGACGATAAACTCTTTGTGATTCCTGTAATAAGTAATAACGTTTCTTTTCTTGGAGTTATTAAGAAACCGCAGGGAAATTGGATATTGCTGGAAATCGTTTGTTGAAGCAATATTACAATCTGTTTGGATAAGGATAAGGCACAAAAAACTGTCAGCGAATCAGCAAATGAAAATACATGCAACACTCACCCTGATCAGCATCACGTAGTCTCTCCAATGCAGCGTCAGAGTCACCATCTAAAATAGAAAGATATAACTTCATTGCAAGCCACAAAAACTTTCAAAGGAAGAATTTAGGCAGTACTGTTTTTAGGAATCGAAGTTCTCTAAACAACTCATGAAAATTTTCAATTGATCATAGTCTGATAGCTTTCTACAGAAACACAGGTGAACACTTCAATAATAAGTGTGACCTGAACCTTACAGGAGATAAAGTATTCACGGTATAAGTGTTGGATTTCATGCATAAAACGGCTGTTGTCTTAAAGGCCGCCATTTTGTTCGGCGATTATCGTTTCGCAGATAAGATGACGGAATGGGGCCGTCAGCTGCTGCATTGTTTGTTCTACGCCAAATTCTTTCGGCAGCCAATAAATACGTTGATATGTTTACAAACTAGCCGAAATTATGTTTGTCACATCAAGTACTTGGCATTTCAAGAAATCTAAATAAGGCCAGCCTCAAACCTCACCCAATTAGCGAACAAAAGCATTTTAAAACAGCAATTTACGAAACCCTATAACCTTAAGCACTGAACCTAATTATTTCTTAGCCACAAACGAAATGTGAGCCATAAAACTAAAAGCTGAAAACAGATCAAAAAGCGAGCGCTATACATCAGCCGCATAACTGCTGATCCGAGATATCCTTACTAATTAAGCTGGCAATTAAACAAATGCACCTCATCATCATCAAGCCGTTTCATTGTCCACAGACAATATGTTGACAGGATGAACGGCAGCATGGCGGAGTAACTCCCGTTGTTTATGGCTGCGCGCGCGCAGGATTACGGGCTTAGGCGACGAGTGGCCATGCCCATTCAGCGATTATCTCTGAAGCTATTCATCGCTGCGTTTTAATGACTCGCCTAATTTCAATTGTCTTAAATATAACCGTGTATTTATTACTTGGCAAGAGTTTAAGGAGGGCGCAGCCGAATGAGAACAGTTAACACATGGTTGCAACGATGTGGACGAATTATTATGCATTGATTGAATGATTGATAATGACGCTCGCGTAGATCACTTTAAGTTTAGCACACTGCTTGATCATTTAATATTTTATTTCATACAGTTAGAATTAACTAAGTTCTTATTTTTATCCTTGTAGGTGGGTGATTCCCTGGTTATACTTATTTAAATTCATATTCACGTCTTGACAGTCAATACGTGTTTAAAATCTAAACATTAAAATGACATAATTATCCTACCGCTAACGCTAAACATAAGACACAATTTCGACAGTTTTCACCGCCATTTTCCTTGATAATCGCGTTTTAACGCGGACACGGAACGTCCTGGCCGTTTTGTTTTTGTAACCTCCGGTTTTGGATCGCATCAAGTGTGCGCACGCGCCTATTCAGCTGCAATTAAAACGCAGCGCGAGTTCAAATATTGTTGCGATATGACAGTAACGGCCCGACAATTGCCACGCCAATGTCGCCCTTATTGAGTTCAAAGTGACTAATTAGATTTCGAGATGGTATTAACATGGTTACTTTAAACCAGACTTTGTCTTAAGTTAAATGATTGTCTCAAAGATACGTCGGTTTGAAGTTAGTTATTATAATCCTGAAAATAAACTTGTAATAAAGCCAAAGACGCTCTACGTTCAATGCCTAGATGTTGCAAAAGTTCATGAATCAACATAAAAAAGTCCTTTGATGAGGTCTATTGAAGTGAAAATCTCTTTTTTTTCTATCAGGAAAATAATTGTCATATTCTTTACTCATGCTACATATTGGGAATTCCTTAAACCGTCTAACCAAAACGACTTTCATCTGAGTCATTCTATACAAATACTAGCACATTCTTTGATATCCGGTAGCTTAGTCTACAACAGACAGTGGCACGTCAAGCCAAACACTATGAGGTCTTCTATAGTTGTAATAAGTTCGAGATTGCAAAAAAAATGTATAGTCTGATGTCTTTTCGACTTCGTTACTAAGGCTGAGTTGCACCATCATACTTTAACTTTGACAAACGTCAAACTCTATACAAAAAACACCAGTTATCGTTAGAGTTACCGTCAAAGATACGTGGTGCAACTCAGCCTTAAAGTGTGAATTCTTAAACGTCCTTTAACGTAGTTGTAATCTATTCTATAGTTAAGTCTAGCAGTTCCTTTTCCATGTCTAACCGTTTCTCTTCTTCCAGTGGGAACAAAAGACGGCACCGGCGCGGGCTTCGGCCGACCTGAAGGGGAGGGCGATGAGAGACTCGCGCATATCCTCAGCGAGGCCTCGCACCTCATGAAGCCCTCAGCACCGANTAGATTTCAAGATGGTATTAACATGGTTACTTTAAACCAGACTTTGTCTTAAGTTAAATGATCGCCTCAAAGATACGTCGGTTCGAAGTTAGTTATTATAATCCTGAAAATAAACTTGTAATAAAGCCAAAGACGCTACACATAGAATGTCTAGGTGTTGCAAAAGTTCATGAATCAACATAAAAAAGTCCCTAGATTTGATGAGGTCTATTGATTTGAAAATATTTTTTCTATCAGGAAAAATAATTGTCATGTTCTTTACTCATACTACTATTGGGAATTCCCTAAATACCGTTTTGATTCAAAACGACTTTCATCTGACTGAGTCATTCTATACAAATACTAGCACATTTTTTGATATCCGGAAGCTTAGTCTACATTACATACAGACGGTGACACGTCAAGCCAAACACTATGAGGTCTTCTGTAGTTGTGATAAGTTCGATAATGCAACAAAAATGTATAGTCTGATGTCTTTTCGACTTCGTTACTAAGGCTGAGTTGCACCATCATACTTTAACTTTGACAAACGTCAAACTCTATACAAAAAACACCAGTTATCGTTAGAGTTACCGTCAAAGATACGTGGTGCAACTCAGCCTTAAAGTGTGAATTCTTAAACGTCCTTTAACGTAGTTGTAATCTATTCTATAGTTAAGTCTAGCAGTTCCTTTTCCATGTCTAACCGTTTCTCTTCTTCCAGTGGGAACAAAAGACGGTACCGGCGCGGGCTTCGGCCGACCAGAAGGGGAGGGTGACGAGAGACTCGCGCATATCCTCAGCGAGGCCTCGCACCTCATGAAGCCCTCAGCACCAACCAACGACGACTCCAGAAGCAATGAGGACTCCAGCTCGCCGAGGACGCAGTGCCCTTCGCCGTTCTCCAATAAGGTTGTTACATATTCATTATTTTCTTCTTCTTTTTCGTGTATTTTTTCTCGTTGTTCTTCTGGGTCTTTTCCCATTTCGTTTGGGCTCAGCCTTCAGTTCTAAGGCTACAAGACATTAATTACTGTTAAGGTATCAAACAATAAATATATCTGATTTTCTATACCGTATGATGTAAGTAGGTATTAATAGTGACAACAATTTCGATACTTCTAGAGTTCCTCGATTTACTCGTAATGGTTTTTGTCATTCTTTGAATAATGTATATGTATATGAGTTTGTGTCTTGAATACACACAATGCCGAATCGGTGACTCAAAGTCAACGATTAGGGAAATAATTATGAGGAAAACATTTAGACAAATCTTTCATGTAAGGTACGACAATTCATCAAATTAACTTTGAAAAGGATTTCTTAAATAAAAACTTTCTTCTTCCAGGACTCGAGTCAAAATAGAAGACTGAAGAAGTACGAGAACGACGACATCCCTCAAGAGAAGGTGGTCCGCATCTACCAAGAGGAGCTCGCCAAGATCATGACGCGCCGCGTGGAGGACATGCGCCACAGCCGCGACGGGTTCCCCACGTAAGTTGCTCAAAAATCAATTAATCTCTAGACCATCAACATAAAAATGAAATGTTTCCAATCTTTCAAACGAGAACAGCAAATCTTGAACTAAAGTGTAGCGTGTTTCCTCCTTTTTTCAGCGGCGGGATGCCGCCACACATGGAGCGGCCGCCGGAGGACATCCGCATGGCGCTGGAGGCTTACCACCGCGAGCTGGCCAAGCTGCAGCCCGGCGGCGCCATGCCCAGCCTGCAACACATGCAGGGCATGCCGCCCTTCCCCAACCTGCTCGCCCTCCAACAACAGGCCATGCAGCAAGCCCAGAACCAACACATGAACGGCTCCGGCGCGGTTCAGGATCTCTCACTACCTAAAGATAAAAATGCCAAAATGAATGGAATGACTGATAGCGATAAGGATAGACCAATGGACGCCGAAGAGGCTATAAGGCATGCGGGTAGCGCGTTCTCGTTAGTGAGGCCGAAATTGGAACCTGGACAGCAATCGACGGGCTCGTCGGCTTCCAGTCCCCTTGGGAATGCGATTTTACCGCCGGCGATTACGCCTAATGACGATTTCAGCAGCTCAGCGGCGGCGAGTCCGCTGCAGAGGATGGCTTCGATCACGAACAGCCTCATCTCCCAGCCGACCAACCCGACTCATCACCAGCCCCCGCAACGATCGATGAAAGCCGTGCTTCCCCCTATTACTCAGCAACAATTCGACCTCTTTAACAATCTGAACACTGAAGACATAGTCAGAAGAGTGAAAGAGGCGCTCAGCCAATACTCCATCAGCCAAAGATTGTTCGGCGAGTCAGTGCTAGGACTATCCCAGGGATCAGTCAGTGACCTACTGGCGAGGCCGAAGCCCTGGCACATGCTGACGCAGAAGGGACGGGAGCCATTCATCCGCATGAAAATGTTCCTCGAGGACGACAACGCTGTCCACAAGCTGGTCGCGTCGCAGTACAAAATCGCGCCGGAGAAGCTCATGAGGACTGGAAACTACAGCGGAGTACCTCGTAAGTATTTTTCATTAAACACGTCATCATCTTATAATGACACAGTTTCTGTAGCTGAATAGTTAACTAATGATGTTCTTTTTGTCTCCTTCCAGCATGTCCGCCAAACATGACCAAGCCGATGCCCCCGACGCAGAAAATGATCTCAGACGCGACGTCCCTGCTCAGCAAGATGCAGCAGGAGCAGCTGCTCGGCCCTGGCCACCTGGGCCACCTGGGCCAGCCCACGCCGCTGCTGCTGACGCCGCCCGGCTTCCCGCCGCACCACGCCGTCACGCTGCCGCCGCAGCACCACGACAACAACAACAAGGAGCGCAAGCCGCCGCCCCCGCCGCAGCCGCACCACCCGCCCGGCGTCATGCGCAACCTCCACCAGCACATCTCCCCCAGCGTGTACGAGATGGCCGCGCTCACACAGGACCTCGACACGCAAACCATCACGACCAAAATCAAGGAGGCCCTCCTCGCCAACAACATCGGCCAGAAGATCTTCGGCGAGGCCGTGCTCGGGCTCTCGCAGGGCTCCGTCAGCGAGCTGCTGTCCAAGCCGAAGCCGTGGCACATGCTCAGCATCAAGGGCCGCGAGCCCTTCATCAGGATGCAGCTGTGGCTGAGCGACGCGCACAACATCGACCGCCTGCAGGCGCTGAAGAACGAGAGGCGCGAGGCCAACAAGAGGCGGCGGTCGAGCGGCCCCGGCCAGGACAACTCCTCCGACACCTCGTCCAACGACACCTCCGAGTTCTACCACTCCAGCTCCCCGGGCCCCACCTCGGGCGCGCCGTCGGCGAAGAAGCAGCGAGTCCTGTTCTCCGAGGAGCAGAAGGAGGCGCTCCGACTCGCCTTCGCTCTCGACCCGTACCCGAACATGCCCACAATAGAATTCCTGGCGACGGAACTCGGTCTGTCGACGAGAACGATAACGAACTGGTTCCACAACCACCGCATGCGGCTAAAACAGCAGGCGCCGCACGGCCTGCCCGCCGAGCCGCCGGTGCGGGACCAGTCGTCCGCGCCCTTCGACCCGGTGCAGTTCCGGCTGCTGCTGAACCAGCGGCTGCTGGAGCTGCAGAAGGAGCGCATGGGGCTGGCGGGCGTGCCGCTGCCGTACCCGCCGTACTTCGCCGCCAACTCCAACCTCGCCGCGCTCATCGGCCGCGGGCTCCTGCCGCCCGACGACCACGTCAAGGACCAGAGCGGCGGCCTGGATCTGTCGATGCCTCTGAAGCGCGAGCCCGACGGCGACGACTTCGAGGACGACGACGTCGAGAGCAACCTCGGCTCCGAGGACTCGCTCGACGACGGGGAATCCAAGACTGAGCCGAAGGCGGCCTCCACGCCGGCGGGCCGGTCGAGCCGGCGGAAGCCCGCGGCGCCGCAGTGGGTCAACCCCGACTGGCAGGACGAGAAGCCGCGGAATCCTGACGAGGTGATCATCAACGGTGTTTGCGTGATGAGGAGCGACGACTTTCGGAGGGAGGCGGAGGAGACCGTGCGGGTGGAGCCGGCGCCGGTGGCTCGCGACGGGTCGCCGGCCGCGTCGCCGGCGCCGCGCACGCCGCTCACCCCTCACACCCCGCACACCCCTCACACCCCGCGGCCTCCCCACACGCCGCCCGAAGACGTGCTCTCGGAGGACAAGATCAAGACCGAGACAGAAGACGACCGGTGGGAGTACTAGACTGTCGAGTGAGTGCGTGATCACGACGGACGCTTATTTATTGTTAGCTAGTGAGGCCCGGCTCGAAGCGAGGCCGGAGACTGTACATACCCTCGAGGAAACTTTACGATACAAAATTGCATTTTGCTTTAATTTTTTAATGTAGAAAGGAGGCGTACCCTGTTAGGTACAAATATCTGAGTACTTGTTAAGTTGAGGCTCACTTTGTGGATTCGATTGTTGTAAATAAATATACCAAATATGTATCGAAGTGTGTGAGCCGTGTACATACGTAGCCTAGGTGTAAGATACGTTGCGATAGGGGTAGCAGGTCATTATTGTTAATGAAATTTTAAAGTGCAATCTGATGTTAATGTAAGCTATGATCTATATTGACCCCAGTTGAAAAGTATTATTATGTTTATATGAACCGGTGAGGTTTAAAATATTATTATAATCGGGTTATAAGTTTATAATTAAATTATGAATGTTTATTTTATACTATAGTATGTTTTCTGTGCATTATTTTATAGCCGATTGGACCGCTCAAGTTTGTGATGCGACTGCTGCGGCGTCGCCTGCACTGTATTTGTTTTCATTTCTATTATTTTATATATTTTTAGAAAACGTACAAATTTAGAGACAAACGTATACGTTTATAACTGCTTGTGGTTATAGTTTTTATTTTATTTTAGCAATAAATTTGCTTTTAATCTTATTTCAGTTATTTTTATTTTATTTTCGCTTTCTTCCCTTATTTCCTTCTCCTTAGGGTAAAGTAAATTGTACATTATAAAGGAACCATACTCCTTGCATCGAGTTGTATATAGTCGTACTGTCTGTATATATCTAAGGAGCCGTGTAGGTAGAACGTTAGTTACCTAAGTAGGCGAATAGTGAACCCCAATTAAACTTCTAAACGGTATAACTCATGGATAATCCAAAGTATTGTCAATCTAAAGTGTATCCAAGGAAATGTATCTAAATTAATCACCATATGTCTGTAGCTTTAGGCCCAAATATTTCGGAAATTTAATAAAAAGACAATTTGGATAATTTTTATTCGGGAAAATGAGATGACACTCTTTCTATTTACAGTTTTAGGAATACCGAACTTCATACATATCGATGTTTATATAACGAATAAGCTAGCCTAAGTTAGTGTGTAATAGTCAATATTAAATTAAAATATTAGGCTGTCTAACAGTTGTCGAATCTTTTAATTTTACTCCAAATACCGTTAAGGGAAATTTTTTAACATTTTAAATAAATATTAAAGCTTCCAATATTTAATTTTATAGACTCATTTCATAGCTTTTGCTTTCGAAAGAATATTATATGTATATGAATATTATATTGTTGTTTATATTGTGATAGATGTCTTGGATATTTTGTACGAAATAGTTATCATTGTTTAAAAAATCACACTGTTAGAGAAGTAAGTAATAGGAAACGATCAGGAGGTGTTCATTCGTTAATCACAAAAGAAACGCTAAAAATGTGTATAAAAATTGCTAAGAAGTAGCTCGGTATACTAACCAATTTCGAAAAGAACTGAGCAACGTTGTAGAGCCAAAGGAAAATTATTTTGATCTTGTTTGAAGGCCAAAGATAGTCGTAAATATTATGCTAGAGTGAAAAAGTAATTTCGGTCATAAAAACATCATAAGTCAGAGCATTTTTTTTGTGATAACTGCTTACTTAGATCAAAACGAAACAAGAAAACATACAACGCCTAGCAAGCGTAAGCGAGTGTAGAAAGCGTAATAGCATCCTGTCTAGGAGTGAATAAGTATTTTACGAATTATTTACGAATATAGACTTTGTTGGAAGTACCTACAAAATGTCCAAACGTCTTGTTATTCTATTATTCTACGTACTGCAGCCTGTGGGTCTAGACAAAGTGCAAATTATAATCGCAAACCAGTCGAAAAGTGGTCGAAAAGCCCCTTTTTTGTATGGAGTTTTGACGGATTCGATTTTCGATTCGATCAAAAGTGCGTTTTGTCTAGGGGGGCTGTATTGATTGTTACGTCTGGCTCTACCTAGTGCCCTGTACATAAGTAATGTAGCTCCATAGACGATTATCATACGTTATCTCCATTATAATAATGATAGAATTAATTATTATAGCGGTAATTATTATTGTTCATATCATAATAATAACGATGCTGACACATTGTCTTCTTTCCGAACAATTTCTAAAGTTATTAAATTAAAAATAAAGAAATTGCTAATCTGTGGTTTGTTTTATTCAGTAAGCGTCAAATTGAAGCGAGAGATTTTGCAGAGATGCGATGAGATTTAAAACAATACTTACATTATGACCTACTAAAAATACAACAACAATACCAATACCTACCAACTAAGATAAACTCGAAAACCTTCCAGCTACCCACCTAGAGAGAAAAGCGACAACACAAAATAAATAACAAAAGTGACTACAAAACCTGTAAAAAGCTGAACTACATACATAAATTAACAACTGAAACAAAAGTACCCTTAAATGTTATTTAAACACTACACCAGGTGTTTCAACATTCCTTGATCTAGAAACTCTGGGTTCGATTCCCGGATTGTAAAAAGTCGAATCACCGAGAAGGTACTGCCAGCAGTTTCAAATTTGAATGATTGACACAATCGACACTAATGACACTATCGTGTAGTAGACTGTAGAAGATTCAAGTAACTAAACGGTCTAATATGTACCTAAAAGTAAGTGTAAGTACCTACCTACCTAAGTTAAGAAACAAAACAAAGAAGATGAATAAGACCAAACTTTATTAAATAAAACAACAAAATAAAGATAACAACATTTCAATCGACTTCCTCAATGACGGGGCCGTCGCTCCCGCCAGCGCCGCCGCCCCGGCGAGCCCCGCCCGCCCCGGCCCCCGCCCCATGAAGCTTCTTCATCAGCGGAGCGCACACACTGCTCACCTCCTTCAGCTTATCCTCATACTCCTCCTTCTCAGCCAACGAGTTAGCCTCCAACCACTTCAGCGCCTCCTCGCACTTCCGACGCGCCTTCCCACAGTCAGGCTCGCCCAACTTCCCCCCGCTTTCATCTACCGCCTGCCGCACCCCATACAAATACGTCTCCAACTTATTCCGAGACGCCACCCTGTCTCTTTGACGGTCATCCTCATCCTTATACTTCTCAGCTTCAGACAACATCCTGTCGATCTCAGCTTGAGATAATCTCCCTTTGTCATTCTTAATCACGATGTTCTTGCTCTTTCCTGTGCTGTTCTCTTTAGCAGATACGTTAAGAATACCATTAGCATCCAAATCAAAGGTGACGTCAATTTGTGGAACTCCTCGTGGAGCAGGCGGTATACCGGTCAGATCGAAGGTCCCAAGCAAGTTGTTGTCTTTTGTCATAGCTCTTTCGCCTTCGTAAACCTGAATGGTGACGGCTGGTTGGTTGTCAGAGTATGTGGTGAACGTCTGCGAGTGTTTGCAAGGAATCTTGGCATTACGCTCGACTATCTTTGTCATAACTCCTCCAGCTGTTTCGATTCCTAAAGACAATGGAGCGACGTCGACAAGTAAAACATCCTGAATCTTTGAATGACGTTCTCCACTAAGAATAGCAGCTTGCACTGCAGCACCATAAGCGACAGCTTCATCAGGATTGATTGACAAGTTCAGTTTCTTGCCATTGAAGAAATTTTGGAGCAGGCTTTGGACTTTGGGTATACGCGTTGAACCTCCAACAAGAACAATATCGTGGATGGAAGTCTTGTCCATTTTAGCATCCTTCAATGCTTTCTCGACCGGTTCCAGTGTTATTCTGAAAAGATCAGCGTTGAGCTCTTCAAACCGTGCTCGGGAAATACGAGAAAAGAAGTCGATTCCTTCATACAGGGCATCAATTTCAATACTTGCTTCGGTGCTTGAGGATAGAGTCCGCTTTGCTCTTTCAGCTGCAGTGCGCAAGCGACGAAGAGACTTCGGGTTATTCTTTAAGTCTTTCTTATGCTTTCTTTTAAATTCGTCAGCAAGAAAGTTGACCAATCTACTATCAAAGTCCTCGCCGCCGAGATGAGTGTCCCCAGCAGTAGCTTTTACCTCGAAAAGTGATCCTTCGTCGATAGTAAGAATGGAAACATCGAAGGTTCCTCCTCCAAGATCAAAAATGAGAACGTTTTTCTCTCCTTTTAGATCCTTATCAAGCCCGTATGCTAAAGCAGCGGCAGTGGGCTCATTGATGATACGCAATACATTCAGCCCTGCAATAGCGCCAGCGTCTTTAGTCGCCTGTCTTTGGGAATCATTGAAGTAAGCCGGAACAGTAATTACAGCGTCTTTCACTGTTTTCCCAAGGTACATCGCAGCTATCTCTTTCATCTTGGTCAGAACCATGCTGCTGATCTCTTCTGGCGCGAACCGCTTGGTTTTACCTTTGTATTCAACTTGGATTTTTGGTTTTCCGCCATCATTGATGACTTTGAATGGCCAGTGTTTCAGGTCTTGCTGAATCTTAGGGTCGTCGAACTTGCGGCCAATGAGTCGTTTGGCGTCAAATATTGTGTTGCTTGGATTGAGAGCCACCTGGTTCTTGGCTGCGTCGCCGATGAGGCGCTCGGTGTCGGTGAAGGCGACGTAGGACGGCGTGGTGCGGTTGCCCATGTCGTTGGCGATAATCTCCACGTTCCCATGCTGCCACACTCCCACGCAAGAATACGTCGTCCCTAAGTCGATTCCAACCGCTGGCATTTTTGTATTTTAAATATTATTTTAACCGCAATGAATTTTTGTTTCGCTATAATTTGATTATTTTGACTTAGATATTTTTTTCTAAAAATCAAATCTGTTGACGTAATTCATAACTAACTGCCAGTAATAAAAGCTATCTTCTGGTATATTACTAAAGCAGTTTTCTATAAGGTCTGTATTATTTAATTAAATCAAATAATAATTGAAAAATATTTAAAAAAAGTATTAAAACATTTATTCCTAAAGAACAATACACCGCTATCATTACTAGTGAAATTTAAAAAAAACTGATGACATTGACAGGTTTATAGACTTTGGCACTTGACAGCTGTGCTTGACAGTGACATTGTTGACAATTCTTTGTGAGATTTGAGATTTGCCTGCAGTTTTTATAATTTTCCATTTAGTAAAATAATTATTTCAAACCATCAAAATAAAGCATTTGCAATAGTATTATTAGCAGCATAGTACACAGCTAGGTATTTAAACATAAACAACAAGATTCAGGCATGTCAACATAACCTATAAAAGTACTGTATTTTTAATTTTATAAAAACAAAAAGAACAATGCGGTATGCTCAGTTGGTTGTGGGCCCTGCAGGCAGCGGTAAAGTAAGTAAGCTAACTGATGTAACAAAATCATATTTCAAGTACTATTATTTTTGATATACTTTGTTCAAACATACAAACTTGTATGTACAGTGTATTCACATCAGACTATACATTTTTGTATCTAAACAGCACCTAATACAACTTCTTCAGATGTAGCATGATGTGCCGTCACCTATCCTTAAAAACATAAAAGATAAACGCCCAAAAAGCTCGACAGACACTATATTTTATAACTTAATTATGTTTTCTCAGTCTACCTACTGCTCCACCATAGTGAAGCATGCGAGTGATACAAAGCGCATCGTGGAGGTGGTCAACTTGGACCCGGCTGCAGAACACTTCGACTATGAGCCACTCGTGGACATCCGAGAGCTCATACACCTGGATGATGCTATGGAGGACGATGAACTGCAGTTTGGGCCTAATGGGGGCCTGGTATTTTGCATAGAGTGAGTTGCAATTGGGATTTAAAGACTCAATTTCAATCATTCAATTATGAGTTTATAATATCCAGAAATTTACATCAAGACTACTATGTGGAAAACCTTGGGGGAGGCCTTTGTCCAGCAGTGGACGTCATTTGGCTGAGACGACACTACTATATTCTAAGATTGTTGAAACTTGGAAACACAGATTCCCATCCTTTTTAAAAAAGAATAAGATTCACAATCCTGCAATGATCCCTCCTGCTGACAATATTCAGTGGCAGCATACCTAAATCTGCTTAAATTGTCACCTTCTACCTTTAAAGTTATGTTTTTGAAAGTGTCCTTCAAATATAAAGACTAACATGATTATTTTTTTCATTCAAATAAGAAAATCATCATCATCATCAAGAGGAACTATACAAATGACAGCTTTTACTGCTGAGCTTTTAAATCTAAAAATATTAACTTTTTTGGCATTTTATGTACCTACCTACCTACAAAAATATCAATCACCAAATCATACAAAGTATTTTTCACTTTTTTGCAGAACCTTACTAGAAAACTGTGATTGGTTAGAAGAACAGTTAGGGGATGTGGACGATGACTACCTGCTATTCGATTGTCCCGGCCAAATAGAACTGTACACACACTTACCCGTGATGAGGCGGCTGGTGGACCAACTGCAGCGATGGAACTTCAGGATCTGTGTCGTGTTCATGGTGGATTCACAGTTCATGGTGGACGGTGCCAAGTTCTTATCAGGTCCTTGCTGTTTAAAGTCACACTACACCTTATCACTTCACTACACTGTAAAAAAACACTAGTCTTTCAGTTCCATCCACTTTTTAAGTTTATGAAGTTTTTTCATGCAAAAACTGCAGTTTGCAACTACCCTCTCACTATCAAAACCTACACACAAAACTTTTTCGTTAATTCAAAGATATACCTAACACATTTATCAAATTGTCATAGTACCTACTTGTGATCCACCAATCTCAATATTTTCGTCAACTTCTTGCACACTTTAAAACTAACGAAATTACTTTTACTTGCAGGCACCATGGCAGCTCTCAGTGTCATGGTGAATTTGGAATTGCCACATGTAAATATACTGACCAAAATGGATCTGCTTAGCAAATCAGCCAGAAGTCAACTGGATGGGTTAGTATTATTTTAACCAATAGGGTAAACTTCCTAGTCAATTGAGATACTTTTTATATGGTGTTACTACGCGCCCCATCACAGATATGGCGCCCCATAGATTTGACGCGCGGCAAATTTTGGGGGAATGTGACGTCATCAAGTCGCGAACTAAGTTATCAATTCAAAAATCGAATTCTAGCTAAAATCAACGCGGGCGCACGTATGCATGTCCGTATCTGAAAAATAGTATTTTTCTATACAGAAAACGTGTTTTTGCAAGCAATAAAATTGTTTCTTTTATTAGAAATTGTAAACTAAAGTAAAACTAACAAGTGTATGTAAAACTTTCAACTTACTGAATTTAGATAAATATCAAAAATAGATTTTATTTCTTACAGTTACTTGGATCCAGACCCGCACATTTTGCTAGCAGATATGAGAAATGCAAAGTCGAAGTGGCACGAGAAATACGCCAAACTAACAGAAGCCATTGGGGAGGTCATAGAAAACTTCAGCCTTGTCCGGTTCTACCCTCTCAACATAAAGGAGGAAGAGAGCATAGAGAACATTCTACTGACCATAGACAACATTATACAGTACGGTGAAGATGCTGATGTAAAAATAAAAGATTTTGAGGAACAAGACCCTGATGATGCAGATGATGATTGAGCCAATATAGTACTTTTGATAAAAAATAATTTGGTTTTTTTATTTCTTGAAAAATATTCTTAAATTTTGAATTTGCTGTAACCCAGCCTAAAACCTAATAAGACAGAATGAAATAAACATATAATACAAACATTCTTTATTAAAGAAATTGATATGCAACTAATGTGATCAACACAATATCATCAAATATTTCATAATAAACAGTAATTCAGGAACAAAGGATAAGAGAAGAACACATTCAGGGCAATTGAAGATTCATATTATCTTTCCTATGCTTAACTGAAAGGAAATATGAATAAATACTTGGTTTTAAGCCTTCCTTTATGTTGTCAAATGCATATTTAAGATTTATGCGTAAGAATGGAAAAAGGATTATTTACAAAAGCACAATACACAGCAAGACAACTGATAGGATACATGTAGTTCAGGCGTCTAAATAATTTTAAACCCCTTAACAAAAGTTATACATACATTCTGTTTGTATAACTGCGTAAAGAGGAAATAGTATGCTATAATAATATGACTCGAGTCATTTAGGCAATATTTTAGTCTACAATTAACCACTTTACAATGATGGCAGTATTATTTAATAATAACTTCAAATCAGTGATTTATAAGCCCAATAAATGACTTATCATTATTACAATAATATATATTTGCTTATTTTGGACATCATAATAATAACTTATATTACATTCACCCCTTGATTCTAGCAATTTGGTGGTAATTCAAAAGTACAGTCGACAGCAGATCAGACTATACAGGCAACCTGAATAAACTCCGGCAAACGTCACTTCGACATTACGTTACTCCGACACTACTGAATATCGACGTGACTTTACTTCGACACTACACTGACAAAGGCGTACTGTCGAAGTAACGTTTGTCGGAGTTTATTTAGGTAGCCGACTATACCTATAGATTTTGTTGCAATATAGTACCTATTTAAACTACATAAGATGGGCCTGCGTATAGCTTGATTTCGTCTGTACACAGGGACATAAATACAGGGTGAATATTCAATATCCTAACTCCTCAAGAAGATAACAAGATACTTAATTATAGATTCATATCAATACATAGGGGCTTACTCCCAACGCTGGAACGTTATGTCACCCTTCAATTCTGCTCCTTTATCAAAAATCCTACACATTCTTATAATTAGAATAACAGTCTATTTTCCTATGTATGTTATACATATTAATTGTCACTAAAACATAAATATTACGTCAAGTCTTTCCACTTTAGCTGTAACCATATCAAAGGCCGAAAACTTAGTTCACTGGTCACACGTACACAACACGAATAAAAAGTGCATTGAGAGAAAGTAAATCAACAGTCCACTTTTCGCCTTCTAAACTGAAAGTAGAGTTATTTGTACGCTACTGATTGTCTGAGAGGTTCAGGGGAGAGCTTACAGCAGAGTGAAGTTGGATTCAGTGCGCAAAACCATAACGCTGTAACATTACACCTCGTATTAAGCAACTACGCTCAAAGCGTGTTCCACTCAAGCATAGACTCAAGTCTAATGAACTGAGTGGAAAATCTAGTGGCGTTGCTAGTGGAGTATACGCTTGATCTGTTACAGAGTTAGTTACGATCAAAATGGCGTCGACACAGATTCGGGATCTACCCTCATCACGTTTTGAGTCTCGACGTGCTCTATCATAGGGCAGGCTCATCAGGCATGTCCATATACGGAAGGGCTCATGTAAGAGGTACTAACTTACTAAGATGTGGAAGTCCATGTGATAGAGAATCGGGATCTACCCAAGCTGGCAGCGTTGACTCGTATTCGTATCCCGTTATAGGGCAGGCTCATCATACGGGAAGAACGCATTCTCATATAGAGGTTATGTAAAATGCCGCCGATTAGAATCTGTATCTACCCACGCTGGCAGCAGATTCTCGACGTGTATTACAATGCAGGCTCGTCTGGCATGTCCATATACGGGAATGGGGCGTTATCAGTGATACTGAAGACGTAGTGCGCGCATCCGAATGCCAGCAGAGCGCCGTGCGGTAGCAGCGCCGAGCCCTCCCACGCACCTTCGGGGTTTTCCGGCTCTCGCTCGGGACACTGGCACGAGGACGATTCGGAATCCGACATCGGTAGGGTTAGGGAGCCGTTGATCCTGGAATGTTACAACATTACTTTTATTTTATTGATTGGCCACTGGAGGTTCATAAGCCGGAAGACTGATGATCGGTTGCAAATAAGTTTTTTTTTTCTCTTTATCCCATAGGCAGTTTCAATTGGCGAAAGCCATGCAAACTTAACTGTCTTCCCATACCCGTTTAACATGGGAATTAAGGCCAAATCCTCCATTTGCCTTTAATTTAGGTTCGTGCTCCTACAATGAAAATTTAATGGCCTAATGAAGAGGTCTATGGTTCTAGACTAAATAAGCGCGTGCTCGAGAAATCCATGTGCAGTGTCGCAGCCTCCACGAGCCCCCGTTGTGCCTCCCATGTCCGCGGTTCAGCGGCGGCCTGCTCCTCATCTCGGGTCGGCTCGTGCAGCCCCCCTAGTGTCCCACCTGTGGGCCGCGTGCAGCCCTAGTGTCCCACCTGTGGGCCGCGTGCGAGCGCCGGCTGCCCAGCGGGAGCGGCTGCGGCGCCTGCTCCTCATCCAGGCGAGGCGAGGCTCGTGCAGCCCTAGTGTCCCACCTGTGGGCCGCGTGCGGGCGCCGGCTGCCCAGCGGGAGCGGCTGCGGCGCCTGCTCCTCGTCCAGGCGAGGCGAGGCTCGTGCAGCCCTAGTGTCCCACCCGTGGGCCGCGTGCAGCCCTAGTGTCCCACCTGTGGGCTGCGTGCGGGCGCCGGCTGCCCAGCGGGAGCGGCTGCGGCGCCTGCTCCTCGTCCAGGCGAGGCGAGGCGGCAGCCGCGTCGCAGGTATAAAGGACGCCGTTGACTAGTGTCCCCCACTCGGAGTAGTTGATCAGCTCGAAGTGACGTGTCACCTGGAGAAAATAATGACATATAAGAACCTTTTTAGAATAATGTATTGTACTAAAATTTTATAACTAAACCCATCATCCAGTCTCTAAGCAGCTCACATGGAAGATCAGTCGCCCGTTAAGCTAAAGGTTGTGGGTTCGATTCCCGCCTTAGACAGTTCGATGTTTTTCAAGTTTTTTATTTATAATTTTATTTATTTATTAGGTACACCAACAAAGTCACATACACAATACAGTTCATACATTTTAACATGGTTTAACACATGATACGTATATGACCTCAATTACAGGTATACACAGCATTTCTTTTTGCAATTTAAGACAAAACTTCTGTAAAAATATCCGATCATATGCAAATTGGACTCGCACACCACGGAAAAATTAGACGTGGTTAACGAACGGATAATTATAATCTTCTTTGTCGAAACCAAACAGTGTCTAACATTAAATTTCGTGTCAGCCAAAAGAAGACTTCTACTGCTATACGACTGTTCTCAGGAGACGTTTGATAAAAGGTTTGTATTCATACGCAGTAGTTTTGCAGACAGTGATCCGAAAGGGAATTTGAAAATGGCCGTGCCAGTAGCACGGACGTAATGTGTAGTGCCATCTATGGTTCTTTGTGTAAATTAGTTCGTCACTATAGTTAGTTCGGTAAGAAAGTAAGAAATACCGTAGATGGCGCTTTACAAACTGTATAAAGAGATGGCGCTAAACATGTATTGGTTTGAAACAACGATCTTGCCACGGATTTCCACAACGACCGGTCCTGTGCTGGCTGCATCCAAGTGCTTCCCGCAACCTTCGCTAGACCGTCGGTCCACCTCCCTTTTCTACTTACTGTGCAACAGTATTACGAATGTACTAGAGATGAGACGTATTTACTAGAACAGATCCACACACTAGGTATTTTACAATACTAGGCGGCACCTATTCCAATTTTTTAAATACTTGATCCACCTAGTATTTTATAAATTACACGATTTCCGACCCTACCATCAAAGTAATAGAGGTTATTATTGCGTAATCCGTAGTCGTGTATTACGCGCACCTAGTAGGGGAGAGTTCGGTATATTGTACCGCCGGGTAAATTGTACCACCCTCATATTTCGTAAAGTATTTATTGAATGTCTGTAATTGCAACACTCAGCGATACACAACTAAAATCAATTAATATCGGCCATGTGGTTTTTGCCGTGACAACAAACACGTGTGTTTTATTTTGAAAAGTATTTTTTCATTGTTTTCAAGTAACTTTTGACAATACATGTTTAGATTGTAATTTTGTTAAATTTAATCACAGGGTGTTTCTAATATATTATTTAGAAGCGTAAATTAGTGTGGATTACAATTATTTGAAACATTTTTCGGTATTTATAAGCTATATTTTTTACCGATTTTTTAAAAGCACTATCACCTAGTCGGCTAAATTGTACCACATCAAGTTGTATGGAACTTTACCAAAGGATTTTGAAATTTTTTTTAGTAAATTATATTTTGAAGTTATAATAGCGTAGTTATGTTTGACTAACAATAAATGAAAGCAAAAGACTGGCAAAGTAGATTAGGTACAAGTGTGCGTTACGATAATTGGAATTACAAAACTTGTACTCAAAATCGTGATAACGTGTAAAACAATATGGATTGTCTATGTTATTAACTACTGTTCCTCTTCGTTTCCTAATTTGTTAAGAATGTATCGTATAATATTTTGCGATAGTTTTTTTTAGAGGCTTGAAATTTATTGAAATCCAATTTAGTAACCCTGTGGTACAAATTATCGAACCGGTTGGCTAAATTGGACCGAAGCTCTGAACTCGTACTTTGTTGATTTGTGCTAAATATACAACAATCATGTTAATTAATACTTAGGAAATAGTAAGTTGAATAATGTATCTTTTATTATATACCATGGACATTAGCAAAAACAAAAGAAAACTATGTGTAAAATGATATTGAAAAAAACTGGTCCAAATTAGCGGACTCTCCCTTATTTCTCGCTAAGCTTATGTGCGAACGTAGAGATTCACTCCGTCTCTGTCTGACCAAACAAATTTGAGCGTGACGAAGCAAACGCACACAAACGTAGTCAAACCATATTCATGTAAATAAGAAAAAATATGTAAATATTTTTATGAAATTGATATCTTTTAAATACGCCAACTTTTAAGTTGACAGTCCTAAGCCTGTTGAAGTATGAAGGGAGGAATTATTATTCAATTTCAAATTGCATTAATCATACTACGGTTGTATCTTTAAAAAAACAATGTATTTTAAAGTCATATTACGTGGATCAGTCCGCAGTAGTCGCGTCAAGTATGCTAAATTACTACGTACTAGGTGGAACAGGTATTTGGATCGAGTATTAATAAATACTAGGAATAGGTGCACCTAGTATCAAATTTACCTAGTATAACCCATCTCTAGAATGTACCTCGTCCATGAAGATGGTGGCGTGGTGCGGCGCGGCGCGGCGGCAGGCGGGCAGGCGCAGGCCGCAGCCGCTGTCTGTGCCCACTGTTAAAGCGGCGCGACGCATCGCAACGGGGCTCCCGGCTAGCGCTCCCATGCCGTCGCTGAAACACGCGATTTATTCATTTAGGACTTGATAAAATTCACGCGGGACGCACGCATATTTGTATCGAAAAATAGTATTAAACAACACAGTGGCGTGGAAGCTTGCGACGGGTTTGCAAAGCAAGCAGCACTGGTCATGTAGACTTCTAGAGCGGGCACCCGCTACATGCACTCTAGCAAGTTTTGGCGTAGGCTGCCAATGCAACAGCTGATTCTGACAGGTTGAAATGGAGTTGAAGAGAAAAAAGTATAGTGCACGAACTTTTATTCAAGCGAATCCTGCTGTTTGACCGTTCTCAGCATATGTAAGTGTACTGTGCCTCCACACGGCGGCAATGTGGTAGCGGTAAATGATAGTGCGCTCCGTTACACGCGCCGTTTGAATAAGTCTTTGTATTGCGTGACGTTTGTATCACGTGTACATTTCTTGAAGTATACTCACTGATCAACAGGGCTGAGTGTAGCCCTGACATAGGCGTCACAGGGCGGCACAGGCGCCGGCGGGGCAGGTGGGGGCGGCGGGGGCGGGGCGCCCCACACGGCAGCCGCTATACGGCGGCGGTCGGCGGCCGACAGTAGAGCCGAGGGCAGGGCGGCGCCCCGGTCGGCTAGAGCGGACTAGTTAGCGCCGCGTATGTAGTAAATGCTACTCACTGAGCAACAGGGCTAAGCGTAGGCGCCCCACACAGCAGCGGCGGTCAGTAGCGCCTCGCCCCGCTATATGTGATGCTAGCTAGTTGAATGAGTGTATTTGTTTGCCATACTTCACCGCACAACGGCGGCAATCAATGTGGCGGCGGTCAATAATAGCGCGCTCCATTAGATGCGCCGTTTGAAGGAGTCTTTAGACTTGGTGTAGCTCGCACATACGCGTCACTGGCGCTTTGTGCCGGGGGCGGGGCTCCCCTCCCTGCTAGAGCAAACCAGTTAGGGCGGCGTGTGCAGTAGATACATGGGTCTACTCACTGTGCAACAGGACTAAGCGTAGCCCTCACATACGCGTCACACGGAGGCACAGGCGCCGGCGGGGCAGGTGGGGGCGGCGGAGGCGGGGCGCCCCACACAGCTGCCGCTATGCGACGACGGTCGGCGGCCGACAGCAGGGCGGAGGGCAGGGCGGCGCCCCGGTCGGCCAGGGCGGACTAGCTAGGGCCGCGTGTAGTTAATGCTTGGGTCTACTTACTGTGTACGTAGTACGTAGTAGGTCGCGTCCTGCTAGAGCCGCGTGTGTAGTAAATGCTTGGGTCTGCTCACTATGCAACGGGATTGAGTGTAGCTTGCACATAGGATCATAAGCGTCATTGGCGCTTGGTGCCGGGGGCGGGGCTCCCCTCCCTGCTAGAGCAGACCAGCTAAGGCCGCGTGTATAGTCTAGTCGCCGAGCACGTAGAATTTCGTCCAATGACCCCAAGCTACCCCCACCCATATCGCTCACGAATAATTATATTGCTGTCGCGACTGTGCGACGGGCGCCCGCAGTGAGTGTGCGAGCGCGACAGAGACCGGGCTTTAGTAGATACATGGGTTTACTCACTGTGCAACAGGAGTAAGCGTGGCCCGCACATAGGCGTCACAGGGCGGCACAGGCGCGGGTGGGGCGGCGGTCGGCAGCCGACAGCAGGGCGGACGGCAGGGCGGCGCCCCGGTCGGCTAGCGCGGACCAGCTAGTAGGGTCGCGTGTAGTAAATGCTTGGGTCTAGGGGCCATCCATAAAGTACGTCACACGAATTTCATGATTTTTTGACCCCTCCCCCGTCCTTGTCACAGGTGGTCACATTTCTAAGACCCCCCCTCCCTAGTGTGACGTCACATGTTTTGCAATTTCACATCGAAAAATTATTAAATTACCTACTTATAAAAAAAATAGCAACAAATAGAAACAATAAAATCACGCGCGAGGTACGGTGCGTTTGGCAGCATTATAGGCCAGTAGAATTAGATTTTAAATCTGAAATAATTCCTACAAAAGGTTTTATTGATTTAATGGCTTTATTGGTTGCACATTAAAACTCTCCTAGGTTTTCGACTTCGACAGAGTTGTGCTTAAGTGGTGGGGGTATTTTTTAGTTTAATTTATATTTCAAATTACGCGATTAGTACCTCTAAATATATTAGATTTTGAAATGTGATGTCACGAAACTTAGGACCCCTCCCACCCCTTGTCACACCATGTCACACTTTGTCGACCCCCTCCCCCCCTCTTTACGTGTGACGTACTTTATGGATGACCCCCTACTTACTGTGCAATAAAGTTGAGTGTAGCTCGCACATACGCGTGACTGGCGCTTGGTGTCGGGGGCGGGGCTCCCCTCCCTGCTAGAGCAGACCAGCTAAGGCCGCGTGTGCATAGTCTAGTCGCCGAGCACGTAGAATTTCATCCAATGACCCCAAGCTACCCATCTTTATCGCTCGCGCGTAATTATATTGCTGTCGCGACTGTGCGACGGGCGCCCGCAGTGAGTGTGCGAGCGAGTAAATGCTTGGGTCTACTTACTGTGCAACGGGACTAAGCGTAGATCGCACATAGGCATCCCAGGGCGGCACGGGGGCGCCCCACACAGTAGGGCGGCGCCCTGATAGGCCAAAGCGCGACGAGTTAGAGCCGAGTGTGTAATAAATGCCTGCGTCTACTTACTGCGCAACAGGGACAAGCGTAGCTCGCACATAGGCATCCCAGGGCGGCGCCCCGATAGGCTAAAGCGCACCCAGATAAGGCCGCGTGTGTATTAGATGCCTGGGTCTACTTACTGCGCGACAGGACTGAGTGTGGCCCTCACATAAGCGTCACAGGGCGGCACAGGCGCGGGTGGGGCAGGTGGGGGCGGCGGGGGCGGGGCGCCCCACACAGCAGCCGCGATACGGCGGCGGTCGGCGGCCGACAGCAGGGCGGAGGGCAGGGCGGCGCCCCGGTCGGCTAGAGCGGACCAACTAAGGCCGCGTGTGTATAGTCTGGTGGCTGAGCACGTAAAATTTCGTCCAATGACCCCAAGCTACCCATCCTTATCGCTCGCGCGTAATTATATTGCTGTCGCGACTGTGCGACGGGAGCGCGACAGAGACCGGGCTACATGGGTCTACTCACTGTGCAACGGGCCTAAGTGTAGCTTGCACATAGGGTCATAAGCGTCATTGGCGCTTGGTGCCGGGGGCGAGGCTTCCCTCCCTGCTAGAGCAGACCAGCTAGAACCGCGTGACCCCAAGCTATCTTCCCTACTAAAGCAGACTAGCTAGGGCCGCGTGTGTAGTAAATGCTTGGGTGTACTCACTGTGCAACAGGACTGAGTGTAGCCCTGACATACGCGTCACAGGGCGGCACAGGCGCCGGCGGGGCAGGTGGGGGCGGCGGGGGCGGGGCGCCCCACACGGCAGCCGCGATACGGCGGCGGTCGGCGGCCGACAGCAGGGCCGACGGCAGGGCGGCGCCCCGGTCGGCCAGGGCGCGGCCCGCTAAGGCCGCGGCGATGGCGCGGCGCGCGCGGGCCGAGATGCCGCAGCGCGACCACGAGCCTACGCAGCCCTCGCCCCAGGATATCTATAAATGCGTACAGTCTTATTTATTTATTAGGTACACCAACAAAGTCACATAATACAGTTATACATTTTAACATTAACACATGATACGTATATGACCTCAATTACAGGTATACACAGCATTTTTTTTGCAATGTTAGGGTAATTATACACTAGTAAAAACAAAAATCAATTGAATTGAGTTTAAGCACCGAACAATATAAAGGATTTAGTAATTGTTCATTTTGTTCGGTGCCTAAGTCGTTCCGAATACAGGCTTGAGTTTTGACTTAAATTTAGGGAGGCTGTCACCGAAAACGTCAAGACCAGTGTCTGTGTCTGGGTTGCCAGCCACCGCTTGTCTTAATTACAAGACGAACCAAAATTCAACAATCAACAACACAATATGCTTTTTCTAGTAAACAACTATGCAAAATCTGAAGTGATGTGATGTGGTGTAGGTGCCTTTGAATCAATCAATCAGAGCCTGAAGTATGAGAGCGACACGGAAGGGTGTTTTTGAGACATTAAACGTCAGTAAGACTTCAGATTTGTATGCTGTGTCACGTCATAATATGTCAACAACACCCCTCCCGTGCCGTAGCGCTAGAACTATACATTAAGACGTATAGGTATTATAGCAACGTTACCTGCTGCAGCTGCTGCCAGGCCAGCAGGCGCACCAGGCGCGAGTCCAACTTGTGCAGGCGCTCGTCCACCACCTGCAACATTATTATTATTATCAGCATATTTTCTTGTCCGTGCTGGGAGCAGTTGAGGGAGAGTGTGAGATCTCTTGTCGGTGTCATTTAGCAGACCCTATCCTACGATGGACTGGAGATTGGAGATTAGCGTACTGTCATCTAGAATCTCTATAAATAAGCTCACTAATGGGCACATCTTCGTTGGTCGATACTGCTGCCTCCTTTGCGACCTAAAGACAACATAAGGCCCTGTACCTGCTTTGAGAAGGAATAAGCACCTGCAATAACTCCTCCACGTCGTCATCAGGCCGCAGCGTGAGCCGCTCGAGCCCATGCTATGGGGTCAAAAGGGGTGTAGGATCTCGGATCAAGCTCTGCAAAAGGAGGCTGGAGATACGGCTACTAAATGAGGTCACCAATAAGCATATTCCTTGGTTGATAGATACTGCTGTCTCCTTTGCGACCTAAAGACAGCATAAGGCCCTGTGCCACCTGCTTTGAGAAGAAGAAATAAGGACCTGCAGCACCTGCTTTGAGAAGAAGAATAACGACCTGCAACAACTCCTCCACGTCGTCGTCTGGCCGCAGCGTGATCCGCTCAAGCTTGTCGCGCGGGCTGCGGCGCTTGACGGCGGCCGTCAAGTACTCGAAGTCGGAACGCAGAGTGAACCGCGTAACCTATGCGGGGGGGTCAAAATTGGTGTAGATACTTAGCGTCTACGGGAGAGGTTACAAATCTTCCTTGATCGATGCAGCAGACATGAAGACAGATTAAAGGCCTATTAGACTTACTTGACTTATGGTCCTATGTTCCCTAGATGGGGCAGAGGGCGTCCACAACAGTCCTCCATCTCGTTCGGTCTTGAGCTTCTCGCTCGATCTCGCTCCAGGTCTTGCCGATCTTCCTCGCCTCGTCCGCTACAGTGCGCCGCCAAGTTTGCCTGGGGCGACCACGTTTGCGTTTTCCTTGGGGATTCCAATCCAGAGCCTGCTTAGGGACGTGATCGGGGTCCCTTCGGAGAGTGTGGCCAATCCAGTTCCACTTGCGGCGCTTGATCTGCTGGTCGATCGGAATTTCGTGGCAGCGTTCCAATAGCTCGACGCTGGAGATTTTCTCGGGCCAGTATATGCCGAGAATTCGTCGAAGGCAGCGGTAAGGAATAAGTACCTGCAGTAGCTCCTCCACGTCGTCGTCTGGCCGCAGCGTGAGCCGCTCGAGCTTGTCGCGCGGGCTGCGGCGCGGCGCCGACAGCTTGCGGCGCTTGACGGCCGCCGTCAGGTACTCGAAGTCCGAGTCTGATAGCGAGCTGGACGACTCCGTGTTGCGCTCCATCTGGGAACAAGAATGTGGCAATTTTGAACAGAAGACAAATGGTAGCAGATCTTTTGAATACAACACAAATGATTCAGGTTTATGTATTTAACTATTGGAGATCCTAGACACAAAAGAATTATGGGATCCTGTGTTGTTTCCACATCAACCAGATAGTTTTGACAGTTCCAACTCCTTGCCAGACAGTTTTTTTTAGGATAGCTGCCAAAGCCACGATGACCCAGACTTCATGATTCACCAACATTCTATTCTATATTGGGGGCATACGCTGACAAACTTTCAGCTTTTATAAAATGACGTAGGTCTGGCGTTCACTAGCTCTTAGTCTATAGGTGCAAACCACCGAGTTTTAATTGGCCGGCACCCTCAACCGCTGGGACCTAGACACGGCGACCCTTCAGAGGTAGATCTTGTGCCCAGGATCACACTTAATCCCTGCGCACTTTCCAAGACTGCCTAAGATGTTATTACCTTAGGCTCCGGGTCGGATATAGCCTTCAGGTCGTCGGCGGCGTCCTGCTCGGAGGCCGGCTTGAGGCCGGGCGCGTCGCAGGGACACGGGCCCTCGCCCGAGTACTGCGGGCAGGACAGGTTGAGGCAGATTTTGTGCTTTGGAGCGTCCTCATCCTCGTCTTCTGAGTCGATCTCTTTGCTGTCCTTTAGGTTTTGGAGCACTGAAAAATTTAAACCAAATGTTTTGTTCCATACCCCAAAAGAGAAAAATAAACTAGGTGAATAAGATCTTTTTTTTTTTGTTTTCAAATTGGTGATGTCACTCTTCACCTTACCACAGAATAATAATAAGTACTACGTACAGAAGTTTTACTTCGCGAAGGTATTTAAAAAAATGTATGTTCAATGTCATTAACAATATGGTGTAATTTAGCTTGTCTCAAGANCCCTCGCCCGAGTACTGCGGGCAGGACAGGTTGAGGCAGATTTTGTGCTTTGGAGCGTCCTCATCCTCGTCCTCTGTGTCGATCTCTTTGCTGTCCTTTAGGTTTTGGAGCACTGAAAAATTAAAACCAAATGTTTTGTTCCATACCCCAAAAGAGAAAAATAACCTTGGTGAATTCTTATTCATTTCAACTCAAAAGTAACTAGCAGTTGCAGTTTCGTTTCAGTTGCGTTTCACCGTCTTTTCTGGGCCTAAGAGAGAAATATGGAAACAGGCCTTCCCAACCCATTTGGCTAGTGTTGCAGCGTGAGCGTGAGAGTGTAGGTCAAATCCTCCATTTGCCTCATAAATTGGAGACGGTTGTCTTCTTGCCATGGAAACTAAATACCTTAATGATAACGAGAACGATGGATCTGTAACTCTAGATGTCAGAATTTAACCAGCATTTAAGTGGTTGATAATTCATTCTAGCTAGAAATAATTGGCACTGACACGCAGTTTATTTACTAACCTCTAGCACATCGCGTATATTCTCTTCTGGAAGGCAGCAGCGGTGGCGGATTCTTGTAGTGATACCGCACCATGTCTGGTACCAACACGCGCCCCTTTATGCCCACGGGGACCTTTATCCTGCCAAGGGGAGAACAAGGGGACACTCAATTACTAGATAATGATATGTTGGGAATAGATTTCTTTTCACTCTTAACATAAATGTCATCGTTGAACCACATTTATCTGCGTAGGAAAGAGGACAAATAGGGATCACGTTAACAGTTTTCACTGTCCTGGATTTTGTAAAAGGAGACTAAAGGACAGGCCTTCCCAACCCATCTAGATGGGTTGGCTAGCCAACGTGAAGAGTGAAGACCAAACTTTCCATTCGCCTCTGGTAAATCACAGTCGTGCTTCTGCAATGGATACTGAATTATCTTATTTCTTACTATGCTTGCAGTGGTGATGTCATTATCATCATCATTTCAGCCATAGGACGTCCACTGCTGAACATAGGCCTCCATTCAATGATTTCCACAATGGCCGGTTGGTGGCGGCCTGCATCCAGCGCCTTCTTACCTTTATGAGGTCGTCGGTCCACCTTGTGGGTGGACGTCCTACGCTGGGCTTTCCGGTACGTGGCCTCCACTCCAGAACCTTTTGCTGCCCCATCGGCCGTCAGGTCTGCGTACTATGTGACTGCCCATTGCCACTTCAGCTTGCTAATCCGTCGGGCTATGTCAGTGACTGTAAAGCCTGGTCCATGAGCACGTAGAATTTTGTCCAATGACCCCAAGCTACCCATCCTTATTATATTATATACGCGACTGTGCGACGGGCGCCTGCAGTGAGTGTGCGAGCGCGACAGCAACATAATAACGCGCGAGCGATAAGGGTGGGTAGCTTGGGGTCATTGGACAAAATTCTACGTGCTCACGGACCAGGCTTTAGTTCGTTTACGGATGTCCTCATGCGCATGATGTGGGACCCAGAATGCTCCCACAATGTTTGTCGCAGTGGCCGTACCTGAAGGCGGGTCGTGCGCTTCGCGCGCGCCGGATGAAGTCGGTGCGGATGGCGTGCTGGTCCACGGGCCCCGAGAACTGCTCCCAGAGAGCCACGCGCTCCGTCGCAGAGATCGAGCTTACTAGCTTCCAGTCCTGGTGGGGACAAGTACTGTGTGAGGTATTAGGCTATGTTGATAGCATGATTAGAACTACGATAACTCTTTTATAATGCGAACAGCTAGGGACTAAAATTCGCTGTCTGCTGCTGTTTTTCCTGAACACTGTAATCCGGGCCTTTTCGAGGTGAGAGGGAATAGATAGGCACTTACAGGGCAGATTTGTACCATTCCAGACTGCATCTCACTTAACACTAGGTGCAATTGCAAGGCACCGCAAAAAAAATCTTTATTGCCTTGTACTAGAAATAATAAATGCTAATAAAAATGCCAGCTTTAGAAACTTTTAAGGCCAATGTATAATTAATTTAGTTTTAAGCTACATGTCTGAAAATAAAGCTGTTTCTTTAATAAAGATAAATAAATATCCTCTTAAATGTACCTGAAAATCCGGCTCGAAGGACCAAAAACTAAAGACCAATATGCAATCGACGCAAAATCTTTGCGAGAAACCTTTATATAGCATACACTATAAGGGGGATTAGGGGGAGAATCTTAAATTTTGTTAGCTTGAATTTTAAATAACTAAAGTTGATTTAAGAAATACTTACAATATACTGTTCGACGTGGTTAGGGCACATCCAGCGGCCCGTAGGTAGCGCCGTCAGCGGCGGGTCTAGGCAGTCCTGGAAAACAAACAGAACATTTTTATTAAAGAACACAATACAATAACATGGATATTCTTGCATATTGTGAATAAGAATGATTGCTCAGCAGTCGGTAGAGCAACCGAACTATGCGTGATGATTCCATAAGTAGCAACTGTAAGCCACTGATTTTGACAACAGCAAATTTTAAAACCACTGTAGCTTGCATTGGTAGGTGTTGTAATTCAGGAGAAAATATTGAATCTGCCAATCAGTTGACTGAAAACTGTGCTGTCAAGATGACACTGAGTGTCCTTATTGTCGAAACCCAGTGAGAAGAGGTTTCTTTATTCCACAATGAGGAAGCTTGGCCTGCATTTCACTTGATGGAGAGTGATGATCAGGCCGAAGGTGGAAGCGAGGATCACCCGGAATCTTCAATTTCAAAAAACTTGGTGGTGGAGATATGACTGCTTTTTACCCGACTGCGCCATGAGGGTTATTCTTATTGATATAATGTGACATGTATGTGAAATGAGGAGATCCGTAAACGAACTAAAGTCGCTGACATAGCCCGACGGATTAGCAATCTGAAGTGACAATGGGCAGGGCACATAGTACTCAGAACTGACAGCCGATGGGGCAGTAAGGTTCTGGAATGGAGGCAGGAGAAAAACGTAGCGTGCGACGTCCACCCACAAGGTGGACCGACGACCTGATAAAGGTAGCAGGAAGGCGCTGGATGCAGGCCGCTACCAACCGTGCGATGTGGAAGTCATTGGGGGAGGCCTATGTTCAGCAGTGGACGTCCTGTGGCTGAAATGATGATGATGAATCACCTGGTGGAACAGCAGCGGGCAGCAGTCGCACTGCAGCAGCGGCCGCAGCCCCAAGCGTCACTGTCACTAGCGACANAAAAAAGTACATTCTGTGTTTTTATTATTTAGGTAGTTAAATACTGCACAGTATTTAGTACACCATTTTCTTTATTTTCTTCCATCATACACAAGAATACGCGTGCGTGAGTCAATGTTCGCTCGTATGTGAGGCCTTGTCGAATAGTACTCTTGTAGGGGGCAATCGTGCGTGTTTTGTTTTCGATGTAAACTCGCGGAGATGAACAGGCCTGACCTTACCGTGAATGGCATAAAAAGCCACTAACGGAGAAATATGGAAACATAGGCCTCCCTAACCCGTTTGTCCAGCACTGCAGCATGGGAGTGTTGACCAAATCAGCCATTTGCCTCATAAATTGGAGACGGTTGTCTTCTTGCCATATAAACTAAATACCTTAATGATACCAAGAACGATGGATCTGTAACTCTAGATGTCAGAATTTAACTAGCATTTAAGTGGTTAATAATTCATCCTAGCTAGAAATAATTGGCACTGACACGCAGTTTATTTACTAACCTCTAGCACATCGCGTATATTCTCTTCTGGAAGGCAGCAGCGGTGGCGGATTCTTGTAGTGATACCGCACCATGTCTGGTACCAACACGCGCCCCTTTATGCCCACGGGGACCTTTATCCTGCCAAGGGGAGCACAAGGGACAGTTAATTATTAAGTTCAATAAATCAACAAAAATTACATTCGCACTCTCCTAGATGTCGTAAAAAGAGTCTCAGGGTCAAATATGTGGACATCAGGCCTCCGGGGGGGCCTCAGCGTGAAGAGTGAAGACCAAATTCTCCATTTGCTTCTGGTAAGTTCAAGTCGTGCTTTTGCAGTGAAGACCATATAATCTTATTTCCTGCTATGCATTCTGTAGTTATGTGCATGATGTCATTATCATCATCATTTCAGCCATAGGACGTCCACTGCTGAACATAGGCCTCCCCCAATGATTTTCACAATGGTCGGTTGGTGGCGGCCTGCATCCAGCGCCTTCCTGCTACCTTTATTTTTTTTTAATTTATTTACACTTTTGCACATACAACTGTACAGTGGCGGACTTAATGCCAGGTGGCATTATCTGCCAGTCAACCACAGGTCGAGCAGAGAGACTAAGGCGGTAAGGACTTTATGAGGTCGTCGGTCCACCTTGTGGGTGGACGTCCTACGCTGGGCTTTCCGGTACGTGACCTCCACTCCAGAACCTTGCTGCCCCATCGGCCGTCAGGTCTGCGTATCATGTGCCCTGCCCATTGCCACTTCAGCTTGCTAATCCGTCGGGCTATGTCAGTGACTGTAAAGCCTGGTCCATGAGCACGTAGAATTTTGTCCAATGACCCCAAGCTACCCATCCTTATTATATTATATACGCGACTGTGCGACGGGCGCCTGCAGTGAGTGTGCGAGCGCGACAGCAACATAATAACGCGCGAGCGATAAGGATGGGTAGCTTGGGGTCATTGGACAAAATTCTACGTGCTCACAGACCAGACTATAGTTGCCCACCGGTTCGCGGGTAAAAATCGCGCCGTGAGTTCTTAGCCTTACAGTACCTGAAGGCGGGTCGTGCGCTGCGCGCGCGGCGGATGAAGTCGGTGCGGATGGCGTGCTGGTCCACGGGCCCTGAGAACTGCTCCCACAGCGCCACGCGCTCCGTCGCAGAGATCGAGCTTACTAGCTTCCAGTCCTGGTGGGGACAAGTCAAATTTGAGAGGCATTGGGCTATGTTGATAAAGCCTGGTCCGTGGACCGTGAGCACGTAGAATTTTGTCCAATGACCCCAAGCTACCCAGTACCCATCCTTATCGCTCGCGCGTAATTATGTTGCTGTCGCGCACGCACACTCACTGCGGGCGCCCGTCGCACAGTCGCGACAGCAATATAATTACGCGCGAGCGATAAGGATGGGTAGCTTGGGGTCATTGGACAAAATTCTACGTGCTCACGGACCAGGCTTTAGCATGATTAGAACTGCGATAACTCTTATATAATGCGAACAGCTAGGGACTAGAATTCGCTGTCTGCTGCTGTCTTTCCTGAACACTGTAATACGGGCCTTTTCGAGGTGAGAGGGAATAGATAGGCACTTACAGGGCAGATATGTACCATTCCAGACTGCATCTCTCTCTCTCAAAACACCAGGTGCGATTGCGGTGCCTTGTCTTACTTAAAAAAATCTTTATTGCCTTGTGCTAGAAACTATAAACGCTAATAGAAATGCTAGCTTTAGAAACTTAACCTGAGGCCAATGTATAATTAATTGAGTTTTAAGCTACATGTCTGAAAAAAGCTGTATGTTTCTTTAATAACGATAATTTAATATCCTCTAAAATGTAGCTGAAAATCCGGCTCGAAGGACCAAAAACTAAAGACCAATATATTGAAAATCTTTGCGAGAAACCTTTATGTAGCATACACTATAAGAGGGATTAAGGGGAGAATCTTAAATTTTACTAGCTTGAATTTTAAATAACTAAAGTTGTTTTAAAAAATACTTACAATATACTGTTCGACGTGATTAGGGCACATCCAGCGGCCCGTAGGTAGCGCCGTCAGAGGCGGGTCTAGGCAGTCCTGGAAAACAAACAGAACATCTTTATTTAAAAGAACACAACAAAGATAATTACTGAATCTCGTTCTAGCAAGAGTTGTATTCAGTAGTTTGTAGAGCAACAGAACTATGTGCGACGCATTAATTCATTTACATAACAGTAATGAAAAACCACTAATTTTCATGAATAAAACATCATGTTCCAGGTAAACGCTGCCTGATTGGTTGTCGAAATTCAAATCCTTATTAATCAAACACAATGAGAACTGAGATTCTGCTGATGACGCGGGAAGTACCTGGATGCGGGTAGCGCAGGACCGGTGGTTTTGGAAATCCTTGGGGTCTTTTGTCCGGACATGGAGAAAAGCGTCAAAAAGCGTCCACCGTGACCAGGGACGAGTTGCCGGTAAAGCCTGGTCTCTGAGCACGTAGAATTTTGTCCAATGACCCCAAGCTACCCATCCTTATCGCTCGCGCGTATTGCTGTCGCGACAGTGCGACGGGCGCCCGCAGTGAGTGTGCGAGCGCAACAGCAACATAATTACGCGCGAGCGATAAGGATGGGTAGCTTGGGGTCATTGGACAAAATTCTACGTGCTCACAGACCAGACTACAGTAATGTAATGTGGCACCTGGTGAAACAGCAGCGGGCAGTAGTCGCATTGCAGCAGCGGAGCCAGCTTGCAGGTGTGCTGGCACACGAAGCACAGCTTGGCCGGCAGCGGCACGCAGCCCCAGGCGTCCACCGTCACTAGCGACGAGTTGCCGTTCTTGCTCCCCTCTGGAAAGATTTTATTTTACAAGTTAATCCTGATTGAAGTTGATTTTTAGTTGGCCGATAGTTGTACCCGATTTTAATTTGTATGAAGAATCGGCCAAATCGAATCGGCGTAGTGTGCGCACTCCCATACATGCCCATACTGATCAACTGCCTGACTAAACTATCGGCCGACGAAAAATCAACGGTGTGCGCCTACTCTAAGAGCGGCAATACACGGACCGCTTGAAGCAGTCAGGGTCGACAGCTTCAAGCTGCGACTGCACAGTGAACTGCAGAGTTCTATGGACGCACATACACGAACCGCTCGAGCAGTTGCAACTGATTCCGGCGGTCGACAGCACGGTGAGTTTTCATCGTGCGGTCAAGCAGTCGCCAGCCATACACTGACTGCTCGAGCTGTCGACAGCTCTCGCGCAGTTACCTCCGCCCACTTTCTTTATTCCACGGCGCGCGCGCTTGTGATTTGTTGAGCAGTTAATACCAACTGCTCGAGCAGTTATCACTGGCAGCTTCAAGCTGTTGACTCTTGACTGCAAGAGCGGTTCGTGTATATTGATATCTAACTAACTGCTCGAGCTGTCCGTGTATTGCCGGCCTAAGGCTACGGCCGGATACTCGCGACACCCCCACTTGGGCGATGACGGAACGACGCGGAAATTTTAGTGGGTATACCCCGTCCTTTTCAGGGCGGAGCAGCGCCCTTATTAGGGCTCCAGGAGTCCCACACACCACCCTGTCCCGCGGTCCCGCGGCAGTGGTAACGTGCGCAAAGCATTTCCTCCGCGACAAAAAAAAAGAGTTGCTTACGAGCTATGTGCAGCATACAGTTGCAGCAATTTCAACACATAAGTGACATGCCACCAATTGGCAGCCTCTCTTATTTATATGGCAAGTAGTGTAGGACTATAGGTACTAAAGGACATTGTGCACAACAGCTTCCAGTGACTGTGGACAGTGGCCCTTTTTGGGGAGCAGACTAAGCGCTCCTGCACGCGACGCCACCGCCGCGCCTTTGCACTGTTTATACGCGCCGCGTGAACACCGCTGCCGCGCCGCCGCCGCACCGCTGGCTTAATTATACTTTGATGGCGCGGCGACAGCGCGGAGGCGGCGCGGTGGCGGCGTCGTGTGCAGGAGCGCTAAGTAGACTTTATGTGATAAACTATTACCTTTTTCCGTGCCCGGGAACACGAAGGGTATCTTCATTTCGTTAGGCAGCTGGAACTGCCTGGGGTTCATGACGCGCGCGGCTCGCACCAGCACCTCCATAGGAGTGAGCTCCTTCTCCGGTTCCTCTTTCTTTTTCTCATCTTCTTCATCTTTGCTCTTCTTCTTGGCTGAGTTTGTGCGGTTGTTGCGTAGGGACCTAGAAGGAAAAACTAGTTTTCAGAAAATAGTCAGGAATGTGCTTAGCAGATTGATTGGGATAAATGTGAGAGATCTCATTGAAATCATAATTATCAATAACCAAAGTTAATGATTCTAAGCTACAATCATGTCATTTCTTAGGGCATATGTAATTTGTGGCTTTTAGATTCTCAGATACAGTGCTCAATGGCAGCTGGTTATTACAAGAACAACTTCGTTCATTTCAGCCAAATTATGTCCACTGCTGGACAAAGGCCTCCCCCAAGGTTTTCCACAATGAACAGTCCTGCGCCGCCCGCATCCAGGCTCTTCCTGCTACCTTCACCAGATTGTTGGACAACAACTTACTTGTCCAAAATCACGAATTTGCACATTGGTACAATTCCCGGTAGAACATAATTGGTACTGATTCAAATACTGAATATCTGTATTAACATATTTGTTCTGCAAATAAAATTATTTGATTTGATTTGTGTGACTTAATAGAACATGTAATTAACATACCTAGTTTTCTTATCAGTGTCAGACTTAGAGTCTGCGGGTGAGTGCGCACGGCTGCCTCGTGCACTCGCAGGCTTCTCAGCGTCGGTGGCATGGCACTCACGACACAGCCACTGGCCTGCTGGGATGTCGTTCTCGTCCAGCGGAGGGTCACTGTAACCAAGGCAAGCTAAGTGCAAACAACTTATCCTACTTGTACTCAACTACTACATTACAAACTTAACTACATCAACATACTACTACTTATCAAGTGTAAGGGAACTATCCCCTACACTGATATAACATCCATCTGCCAGACTAGCTTTGAAGATGCTGGCTTAAAATATTGTCAATGATTTTAAACGAACAAATCATTCTAAAATGTATAAAATGCCTCAATAAGATTTAATCATGGGGCACATCTTAGCCCTGCTGCCCAGGTACTGAACATAATGGTCAAGCCAGTTGGGGTCATTGATTGAATCCTACAGAGATCAATTTTGTGTAAAAGAAAAGTAAATAATAACTATTTTTATTTAGACAAAAGTTCAGTTAGTATCTGGAATTGCACCCAGTTTCCAATCTGCAGTTTCACTAGCTGCTTGTGTTTACACTTCTGACCAATTTTGCTGGTTGTACTCACTAGCATCCAAGGTGGAAGCTCGCAGGACACCGATCGCAGCAGATCAAATCGCCGCCCTCCCCGCACGCATCGCAAGAGTCGTGGTTGTGACCCTTGCCCGGCCTCTTGTAGTACGGGTGCTGCGGCTTCTTGGGCTTCTGCGCATTCGGCTCCTCGTCCGGGGGCTTTATCAACGCCCTGATGAGCTAAAACACAACCAAAACCGTTCATACCAAACCACTTAGCATCCTAAAATGGCGCCACCAATAACTCTTCACTCACCGGCATGAGCCCACCGGACGTATCCAGATCATAGCTAACGTTAGACATTGTTTGTTATTAATGTTTCAGACTGCGACTATAACCTTTTAAGAGCAACAACCAAAGCCACAACCGATTCGAAAAAACTTCAGCGTAACTTGTGCTTGCTTATTTTGAAGTACAATTTTCACACTTGTACAGATTTATTTCTCCATGTAATATTAAGTTCAAAACTTCACAGGTGTTAGAATTGCAATTTTAACTAATTTTCATGTAAATTGCTGTATTAATTCGACAATAATCTGCATTTCTGCAAAGGAAACGAAAATCAAAAACTACAGACAAAACACACAGTGATGCTAGTGATGCACCTTCATAATTCCTATTTCAGTCTAGAAACTATTTAACTAGCTGACAAAATATTTTTTTGGTTGCAATATTTTCAATAAATGGGATTTTTATCTTTATTGAGAAGTGGTTTGAATACTTTTCTTTTGTTTTGTAGAAATACAGTTCTTATTGCTTAATGTCGTCGTCGTAACCCACCCACAGCACAGCACAGCGACGAAGTCCTCGGGCTCGCGCTGGTTTTCACACTGAAATTATTATGTGAATATAAAATGAGAGAGTTTTTCATTAATCTTCACGGGCAGATTAAGTTTAGTTACAATACTTGCAACTGTATTATTAATGATCTCTTTTTTAAACCAGTTAATAATTAATTTAAAAATTCTACGTGCTCACGGACCAGGCTTTAGTATGATGAAAGGCTGCTTTTGAACATTTTAAACAGCGCCGGAACTGAGCTTTTTAATTTATTTGTATGAAATTGGTTAAAAATAATTTCATGACTAAACTAAAGTGATTTTCTTTATGAAACGTAATTAAGTACTTAAAACAAAATTATTGTTAAGATGGACATAATAATTATTTTACAATGATAAATCGACAACTATTTAAAATGTAACTGTACCTCACTAGTGAAGCAAAAATGCCGGGATTGATTTTGACATCTTTGACAACTAAAAAAAAACAAATAAAGCACAGAGCACACTGGCAGACATTTTAGGTTAAAATTAGTCTGTGATTTAACCGTAGCATTATTTTTTAATGTCCTAAACACAAAAATCCAATTATTTTTACAAGTTTTTTTTCTTAATTATTTATGGTGCTGCTATTTAAAAAAAATAATAAATACAATGGTAGAACTTTTAATTAAAAAGTGGTACAAATCTTAAAAAATTGTGCATAAAACAATCCGCAGTAAACTTTTAACTGTCTCTGTCTCCAATTTATAAGGTGTCCTCCTTTGTCACGTTTGCAAATGTTGATCTTTATTTTCCCCTATACAATATTAAGGGTGCTATGGTGTTTGTTCGTTGAGGCGAATGAAACGGATGAACCAATTTGGATGCGATCTGTGTGTTTTAATCCGGGCTAACTAATATTCTAGATTGTCATCCTAACCTAACGAAAGTTGCGCTGTTATCGCAATTAATAAAAGTGCTATTGAACCTAAGGAATACCAATGAATACTTGTCAGTTTGATACTAGAATGCTAATGGAATTTTGGTAAAAGATATTTATAAAAAATGAACGATAAAAAATAATTTTAAGTACAAAATGACATCATGTCAGCGCGTTCATGTAGCGGGTAGAGATGGGTAGTGGGTAAAAACCCATTTCACCCGGTTTTTACCCATTAGGGTGATAATTAAATTCTGGTGGGTAAAAACAAAAATTTAGCGGTTTTTTTAAAGTGAGAAGTAGTATTCGTTGCTAAGGGGGCGTTATAGTGTTACGTAATGCAATCTGGGGGGAGAGGGGGTCTTGAAAAACGTTACGATGCGTTACAGGGGCGGAAGGGGGGTTCGATATCAAGTGTTTAAGCAGAAGTACTTTGTAGTTGGTGTTAATGTTATTTGTAACTTTATACCGTAATGTCCTCAAAGAGAGAGTTTGGCATCACCAGCTGCAGCAGCTTCTTGGCCTGTAAAAGCCTTATGCTGACAAACCAGACCAACTGTGCCAAAGTTATATACTTACTCAGTATGATTCCCGTTGACTGCTGAAAACTGGAAATTACAGAACGTGACAGTTTTTATTTAGAACGAGTTTTTGTCACAGATCGGCATACATTATTATAGCCTATATGTTATATAAACAATTATACTGTAAAGTTTCAACAAAATCCGTTTAACAGTTTTTGCGTGAAAGAGTAACAAACATCCAGACATCCAAACTTTCTCATTTATATTATTAGTAGGATAGTAGGAAGTAGGATAATTATGTTAAAAAAGCGAAGTAGTTAGCTAACCTACTTGTTAAATCATTAAAAAAACGTTAAAGTGATTTGCGAAGCAATTTTGGAAAATAACAGTTACTACTGTCACGTTTTGTTTATTGTTTTTGAGTAACGCAGTAAAGAAAACTAATTTTCCTAATGGATGAAGGCTTTATAGTAGTAAATAGTGCTAGATAAATGGCAACAAAGGCTGAGCGGAAGTTGCCATTTCTATGACGTCATGGGCGGAGTTTAGTTGAAGATCGAATTTGGATTCGGTTGGCGGGCGCGGCCATCTTGGTGAATTAGTGACCTGGCGATTCGGTTTTAGTTAGTGAAAAATCATTTGTCATCCACAATGTCGGAAAGGGAAGATAATGTGTACAAAGCTAAGTTAGCCGAGCAGGCTGAGCGCTATGACGGTGAGTACTTATTTTTGTTATATCTTTCGTAGTAAGAGGAATATTCTATCATAATTTCGCCGACAGTTGAAAGACGATTTGGTGATAGTCTGGAAAAAATCTAGATCTTGACATGTAGTTCAGCCCATACTCGACCCTTTTCTTGTAGGAAATAAGTGGAATGCATTCATTTATTCGTATATTATTGGCTAACTAACGAATCAATGGCATTCGTTAGGCTTGGTCAGCGATCGATGCGTCATCCGCCGGTGGGATGCCCTTTACGTTTTTTGTACTGATTGACTGTCTAAAAAAGCCCTGACAGGCCCTCTAATGCATTGTCCAGGCATAATGTTACATGTTTCAGTCTTAATCATGTAGGATTTTGCAATTAGTTCTCTGTGAAGTAATTTATCGATAAGAAATTTTGTGTCATTCATTTTCCCATCCCAGGGAAGTAAAATTGCGATCGATGTCATTGAGGTCGATCATGCATGTCGTACCTTGGACAAGTCACTTGCTCAGAGGCTGCGAACATTCCAGGCTCGTTGGGAGTCTCAAATAGCGAGTCGCCTCGCTCGCTCCTCTCACCTATTGTTCGTAATTTAGCACCACGAGAACTTACCTGTGAACCTCTCGTGTTATCGCTTTCATCTTGGAAATTAAGATAATGCATTCATTGTAGAGGTTATAATCAGTAATTGTCACACAAGTGGGGTACTTTCTTTCTCTAGTATAGAATGTAGGTGATATTGGATACTTGAACTTCTTAGTGGGTGAGCACGACAGTTCAATGACCTTCTTTCGAGTATGAACATTGAGCTGATGGACACACCTACTTTTCTGTCATGATAAACCTACTAGGTATTGTTTTACAGCCATTTGTGCATTCAGCTGTCATAATCTACTTGCCCTGTCAAAGCCCCCTCAAGTACAGCTGTGCTACCATATTCACATGTTAACTCATGTATTAGTATAATCTGCATGTTGTGCAATGCAGTAGTATCAAGATGTCAGATTGAAGTCTTATGACAACTATCAAATGCTGAACAATTCAGCATGGCACAGTGTCTTGCCTCAGTGCAGAATGTTAACAAAAATGTGCTATCAGAGGTCTTTTGTGTTTTTTACTGGCCCTGGCTCAGACAGTGTGAAATAGAAGAGGTAAAAAATGTTATACTCAAGGTCTTTAGAATGTAGGTTCAAACAATTAACACAACTAAAACTCACTGATTATTCATGAAAATGATCTGATTCATGTTTAATTGGATGTCCTGAGTTGCTAACATTCTATGATATTACTTAATTATATTTTAGTGTAGATAGATTTGTATTTCTCAATTGGGTATGGGTATTATTTTCCCATTAAAATACTCTATTGTTGTTAAATTTATATTGCAGAGTGAGAATATGGACTTGTTACTATGAAGATAACCTATAGAAAGGGAAAAATTGAAATTTTATCACAAAAAATGCAATGATGTCAAATAATGATCATTCCAAGAAGAGAATCTAAATTTTTTCAACATAAATTACATGAAATGTGGATAACTTACTTCAGGCATAATATCTGCCTAAGAAAAATCTAAGCACAAGGCTAAGATTTCTTATGAAACAAGAAACTTAGCTTGCACTAAACATTCTGCAAGAAATATGTTACTGAATTTCACATGAAACTTACATCATCCTTGTGAATGATTTCAGAAATGGTGGAGGCGATGAAGAATGTTGCGTCTCGCAACGTATCGGACAATGAGCTCACAGTGGAGGAGAGGAACCTTCTCTCTGTGGCGTACAAGAATGTTATAGGGGCCCGGCGCGCCTCGTGGAGAATCATATCCTCAATCGAACAAAAAGAAGAAACAAAAGTACGTATTAGTTTGCTTTCACTCAGTCTTCCTTTTATTTGCATGTTCAGTAAAGATATTATTGAAAGATGTAAATGGATGGACAGATTAATTTTTAAGTTAATTTAAGCTTTACCTATTTTATCTTAAGTTTGGCGATTTTCCCATCCCATTATAAGTTTCTTCTACATCTTTGTAGCTTCAATTACCCCCTGCATCTATAGTATTTTAATTATGGTTATGATTTTCGATGTCACGCCCAAAGTGCTCTCTGTAAAACAGGGGGTTCTTCAAAGTCAAGTGTGAAAGTTTGTGAATACAACCCTCCTATTGTTACAAATGTCCAAGGGTGACAAAAGCCACATTCTATGTCGGCAGATCGGGAGCCTTCAGTAGTAACAAATATAAAAGAATCAATACCATTTGCTTTAATATAATAATCAATGATGTATGTGGGGGTTGTCTTTGAAAGAATTAAATTTTCTTAGTCTCAGTCTCATCTCAAGTATAGTTTTTCCTTCAGATATGTTACAATTCTCGATTGCTAAAGCTGTAATGACGAACCGCGCTAATACCTAGACGGGCGGGGCCGCAGACTGAGGCTAGTCTTCCATATTTCATACTGGGTCAAAGACAATCTGTTACATAAGAACCAGTGACCCGAATCTCAAGTGCCTACCATAACTATGACCTTAGTTGTGATTCATCTATGAATCATCAAAGGAAAGTGAGTGTCATCTCTATAAAAATATGCACAAACAATCATAAAGTTATTTTCTTGTGAAATAGCTTGATTTTGTTGATCATAGAAACAGGAAGTGTAAAACAATAAAATTCTTCCTGGAGTGACACAGAGGCTAATAAAAACTAAGTTATTTAGTGTGTTCGCATTTTGAGGTTTTTCAATTAAATATTGATTAAAAATGTCTGCAACATTGTATCTGNTAATATATAATCGTGTGATTCCCCAGACGTTCGCGTTACCGTTAAACAATTTAATCCGTAACAGTGAAACTGACAGTTTTTGTTGGTCCGGCAAAAAGAGGTGGTCTAACGCGGCGTGCTGTGAGTGAGTCATCGGCCATTACCTCATTACGACACTAGCTTTACCTACGCGCTGCTGCTAGCAATCGAGCTGCTGACTCGCCATATGCGAAGGGTTAAGTACTTCGAATGTGAAACGAACAAAGAACTTGACTTACACACAACCACCTCCGTGTACATGGCTATAGTCCATCTATTAGCATAAAACCGTATCAAAATCCCTCCAGTTTCTGAGATTATCCTAAACAAACTTGAGAAGTTATGAAGTGATTTGAGAACCCTTTGAAAAAAGATTTGTTTTACCGTAAAATCCCGAATATTGTCTCATGATGGCCGTTCGAAGTAGATACTTTCTCATCTTTACGACTTGCGCAATGTAGCTTTTGAGTACTTTGCGTGAACGATCACGAGCTAAATTGAACTTAGATTCCTGCCCCAGCCTTAATAACCGCTCAGGTTTACGAGCGGGCTAGAAATAAGCCCCAATTTCGGCCATTGACGATACATCGAAGTTCGCCTCTTTAGAAGCTAATGGCTCGCCATTTAACGCCTCCGTTTCCTTGGAACTTCTTATGAACTTCCTGAGGAGTTGGTATCTCGATCGAGCGAAATCTTAGTTGCGTAACTTCTCGCTCCGGCGGACTACGCGCACGCGACAGAACAATTTGTTTGATGTCACAGGTTATGTGCAAGCGTTATGTACACAATTTTGGGGGAATTTTAATTAGGTTATCAAGCTTATCAACACTCCGTTTCGGTGCTTAGGTTACGTTCCGTTTCGTGTTAATGTGCGCACTAGGGCCTGGACAACAGATAAAAAGATGCGTAGATATTGTCGCATACCGAAGCGCCGAATGCCGATAGGCGGGCGTCAAGAAACTAAGATAAGAGTCATTCACTCCGATTAAAAACGTTTGAGGTGAACTTGAACAAGCGACTTTGATTGTACAGTCGACAGCACCTTTAATAATTTTAATAAACAGCATTTTAATAAAACCTTCTTGTTCTTGATTAAATTTTTGGGAATTTCTGTAACCTTTCAAGTCCGCATTCTAGGTCTAGTTTGAGGTCATTGATAAACATGTGAAAGTAATAAAAAGCTTGTAAAAATACGCGCACGTCAATTATAAAAATAATTTGTAATAAAAAGGCTAATTAAGATATTAGTATGTAGATCATTGCACTTTCGTCCGGCCGTTAATTGTTCCGGCGCGTTGACATGGAGGTCGCTCCAAAAGTGGCGTTTTGCATAATATCGATCCTCCATTCATTATTATATTAGCCGTGTATTTTTTATAGATTTCAATGTCGCGGTGGTTATCACAAATAGGGCAAAGAAAAATTGTCCCCTCGCAATCTAGCGGCAATAGTTTTGCAGACAAAAATTATCTTGTTTACAATAATGTTGTAGTTTAGGTAAAAACACTTGCGCAATTTAAAACGTGTCGCCGCGAAACTAGCCCAGCGTGTACAGATGGCATAATATGAAAAACATAATACGTACATGCCTTGTCACAGCTACTCTTGACTATTTTATTATAACGTCGTCACTAGCAAAGTGGTGAGGTGGTGTGAACAATAAACCAGCTGGATATTCCGCACTTAGCTTTTCATTGTTGCTTACAAAAAACTTGGTGGAAACTACGTTGTTTGCACTGAAATATTTAAATGGTGTCGGTAAAAACTATAACGAGGGTTTTTATATAATATTGGGACATCAAAAAGTATGGTGTCATGGGATATTACATAGTTGCTTTCAGGGGCGTGGTCAAGGCTAAACTAATCCATTTGTACGTAGCCGACGAGTACTTTACTCGTTATAATAAAATAATATTCAGAAAGAGCTTGGAAAGACATTATGCGACACAGAATAAAATTGATAATTATTGTAAACTGGTTTAGGTTGGCAACCAGTTCCGATAGATTCTTAACTCGACGCCTAGCGACGAATGTCGAAATTGATAACGCATATTAAATATTTAAACAGAAAGGTCTGGGATGACTTCCGCTGCGTTATCTCGCGCGTCCTTGAGTAAGGAGTCGCTCTCCGCACGTTGGGGGCCTAATTCTGTTAGTTTTTTCCTGTTTTATTCAAATAGTCTACAGCTCATGTAAATTTCATGGTGGAATACATACTGTAGTGGGATGGAACTGCGCTCAACAGATGATACATCTGAGCTAGCTTAACATTATGCTATTTTTTCAAATAGGGTTGAAAATTGGGTCACATAGCTGCATTCCATTACTAACTCAATGGAGAAACATTCTAAAAAGTATTATTATTAATAGTGTTATCGGTTTTGGAGATTAGAAGTCCTTTGTTAGGTTCCGATGCTGGCCGTAAATTGAGGTTTTCCGAGAATGTGATGTGTGATGGACAGTTAACCAATAAGCGTTAACTAGATTGCTTTTGGCTAGTGGCTACACAGAAGATGTATTTAAATTAGTTAGCAGCTTTACTCGGCCTTCTCTTTGAGATGCAATAATCTAATCTGGATAGGGGTGGGGGCTCCTTCTATTTATAGTCGATGTAATTGTACAGGATGATAAACACACCTCTGATTCACGGGCTGTCAGAGTAACGGTGTGCAGAAGCCGCTTATGGATCACAATGGGACTGCAGCGGGCTGTAAATAAAATACACGTCAATTTGACAAAACACATCTCAGAGTTATTGATGTGATTGAGCTTTACATTTGTAGCATTGATAAAGTATTGTATTCTGATTTCGGACGATGACTTGGTTTTTATCATGTTGTTTTTATATGACGCTATCGAGAAGGGTATTCTAGGTGCATAGGAATATCAAGTGAACTTGTTAATTACACATTCTACAAAAACGTGTTACGTGAAAACTAAAAAATATGTATTTCAAAATTACTAAATGTATTATTTGAGTGTTGCCAATCACCTGCCTCTTGATTGATTTACTATTTGACGATCAATCAATCAAAGGCGAGGTGGGGCGGATCTCACACGAAATTACGGCACCTGCTGCAAATGCGGGTTCAAATCTTGCCAGAGGCACATTTTTGGGTGTAATATTTAGTAAAAAATATATTTACCTTCTTGAATTTAATGTCGTAAGATATTGATAGATTACATCAGTTTCGATGTACAATAGTGTTACCACGACAACTAAGACATGCAGTGTACACACGATATTGAGAACTCTTTATTGCACTCCAAAATACTACCAAATTAAAGAATACAAAATTGAAAGTTTACAATACAATAACCTATATCAAACTTCAAGCAGTCGCATAAAACCGCGAAATAATTGATTTCTATTGTCTCGATTTGTGCGGTTACAAGCAGCAAAATTTGGGATATTTCTGTGTTATATCTCCCACTACACCGTTTTAGCCCCTTAGGGGGTTGAATTTTGCAAAATCCCGTCTTAGTGAGCACCTACGTTCTAAATGAAACCCCCATGCAAAATTTGAGACCTAGTACTTGTAGTTGATGAGATTTCGTGATGAGTGAGTGAGTTAGGGACCGTTCGCTTTTTAGATATTTCGCATATTTGAACGCAATGTTTATTGCAGGGCGCGGAGGACAAACTGAACATGATCCGAGCATACCGCAGCCAGGTGGAGAAGGAGCTACGTGACATCTGCTCCGACATCCTCGGCGTGCTCGACAAGCACCTCATCCCCAGCTCACAGACCGGCGAGTCCAAAGTCTTCTACTACAAAATGAAGGTAGGTCCACACTCCACCACTGCAAGACTTGTGTAGGCGATTACACAGCTTAGACGTCTCCTCCCCACTCAGCCCACTACTACAAGACTTGTATAGGCGACTACTCGAACACTTCATACCTAGCTCACAGACTGGAGAGTCCAAAGTCTTCTACTACAAAATGAAGGTAGGTCCACACACCACTGCAAGACTTGTCTAGGCGACTACACACCACCATAGACGTCTCATCCCCACTCAGCCCACTACTACAAGACTTGTATAGGCGACTACTCGAACACTTCATACCTAGCTCACAGACTGGAGAGTCCAAAGTCTTCTACTACAAAATGAAGGTAGGTCCACACACCACTGCAAGACTTGTCTAGGCGATTACACCTTAGACGTCTCATCCCCACTCAGTCCACTACTACAAGACTTGTATAGGCAACTACTCGAACACTTCATACCTAGCTCACAGACTGGCGAGTCCAGTCTTCTTCTACAAAATGAAGGTATGTGTCCTGCCCACTACACCACTGCAAGACTTTTCTATTTGTCTAGGTGACGACGACTCACTTCGACCGAAACACGGTGCTTACATGAAGTAGGACAAGAAATATATTTATTGATTATATTTACCTCATAAAGGTAGTGGGAAGGCGCTGGATGCAGGCCGCCACCAATCGGCCTTTGTGGAAATCATTGGGAGAGGGCTATGTTCTTTGCTCAAGGTCAGCTGGTAGAGAATGACGTATGGCATTAAGCTCGCCTTTTTGTACAGAACATTGTTGTGTGTGCAATAAAGTCTTTAAATAAATAAATAAATAAATATGTTCAGCAGTGGACGTCCTATGGCTGAAATGATGATGATGATGATGAATGATCGCACAAATAATTGTCAATTACTAGTGCTGCAGCTGCTTATGATTATGTACTCTGAAATACTGCTTTATATTCAGCCTCATTACTCTTGTCGCGAAACGAATTTAATATTTATCTTAGTAAAAGATAAGATTACATAACGTCGTTATGACTACAAGATGCAAGAGAAACAATTTTATATGCTAATGCTGAGGAAGTAGTTTATACAGTTTTAACATCAATAACTATCGCGTTATGGACTCTAGGACACCACCTGCGGCGCAAGCTCTACAAAATCGATAAAAATGCGCACAGGACTTGCAAAACTGCAGTCTAGCAGCAAGAACACATAACCTACACTGCACGCCAACTAATATACTGTATTGACTTCACATGCCGAATTCAATGATATAACAAAAGTTTTCCTTCAAATAAAACTTTGATTTTCAATATAACTTCTGGTCTACTAATCGCCTATTTAGATAGTTAATTGCTCGCCCCAATATTTTACTTACGTCGTGGACATAATCACAAAGTTACACAAACTTGTAATGGCAGACTCATTAACATACCAAACAAAGATATCACTCAGCGTTTGACAATGGTCAGTTATGTGCAGTTGTAAAACTTGAATTGGTCTGCCTAATGAATTGGTTTCCTCATTGACTGTGTACCTCATATTAATATCGTTTTCCTGTATCATCATGAATAAATTTCTGTTGCTGCTGGTATTTATAGATTTGCTTATGAGAATACGTTAAGTATGATGAATAGATCTGTGCATTTCACACCCACTGCATTGCACTGAGAGTATAAACTATACAAGAGAATTATAAAACGAAGCGCTACTACAAGTACAGTGAAATTATCTGTTAGTTTATTGGACTAACTTAAAACTAAAAACTGATTAACTTAAGTCTTAATCCGATAGGCCTATGTCCAATAAAGTGTGCTGATTTGGTTACTTTCAAGTAAAATGAGTCTTCTTTCATCAGAAGACTGATGAGTGTTTTGTTATTGCTATGCCACTATTTTGTCTTGAAGGCAGCTGGTGATTGTAACGCTGTGGCGTAGTCATTCATACGTGGTCTGTTTATCTGTTATGTTGATGCATTTGCATATTTTGTGTATTCCATTATTTTCCGAGTGTAACATTGTATGGTATGGTTCCAGGGCGACTACCACCGGTACCTGGCGGAGTTCGCGACGGGCAACGACCGCAAGGAGGCGGCCGAGAACTCGCTGGTCGCGTACAAGGCCGCCTCCGACATCGCCATGACCGAACTGCCGCCCACGCACCCCATCCGCCTCGGCCTCGCGCTCAACTTCTCAGTAAGTCCGAACACCGCCCGCTCACCCCGCGCGACCCACTGACCGACATAGCGGGGGGACGTGACCCTCCGCGTATCACACTCGATCAACTTTTTATTTTTGTGGCGCCATGAAGAGTTATAAAAATAAATAAAAAAATAAAATATCCTTGGACATTTTACACTGCGCTTCAAGCCCCAAACTAAGCAAAGCTTGTACTATGGGTACTAGACAACGGATATACATACTTAAATTCTTTTTTTTTCGTAAATACATACTTATTATATAGAAAACACCCAGTCCAATACAAACAAATATGTTCATGCACACAAATGTTTGTACTGTGCGGGACTCGAACCCGCTACCTCCGGAATAGTAGTCCGTTTCGAACCACTACACCAAACGACCGACGTTATTGTGGCACCTTTTAATTTGACCGGTACCATTTACCTAATAATAAAAAATCGTCTACGTCTAGACTTATTCATTCGCGCTAAATTAAATATGCACTATAATACGATTCGTTCACCTCGACCCATTTAAATCAATTATGCAAAGCGTCCTCGTACAACTAGGGGTTGTGGACTTGAATACTTGAACTAGCTTAGCCTTTATTGCCTTCGGGCTGATTGATTTGGAATTGTTTGTGCCTAAGCATTAAAGCTATCGAGTTCCACGTTATTGAGGTTTTTCTCAAGGTCAGGCGTGGCGTAGTTAGTGTACACATCGCGCGTATTTGCCTGTCAGATAGGCGAGTATGGCAAATTCCTCTGAGTCAGCGTCAGCACGCCGTGACGTCATGCGGGCGGATAATCCGCGCGATTACCGCGGTCGCGATCACGCACGTTACGCTTTATGACCGACTAAATATGATTACAATGGAGACAAATTCGGTAGGATTATTTAGTAAGGAAGATGAAAAAGTAGGACATAGACAATCGTCACGTTTCCACCACACCATACACAGGAGAGCAGAAAACGCTTATTAAATACTATCGTGAAACTAGGCAAAGGCCGGGAAATTACGTGTAAAAAAGCTCATAACATTTTTAATGCACATTCAAAATTGTTTACATTGACGTTAAACTGTATTGTTAACGTTTTCTTTTAATAAAATTCACCAAGATTAGTTTGATGTTTGAACCTTGGCAGCTTTTGTTTATACAGTACCTACACATAGATTATTTCAATTTAGTCTAAATGAAGTTTCGGCTATACTTATTGGCTGTTGCCTATCTGTCAGTTTATTATACAGTCTCCGACCCCGAATTGTATCGTATGTATTTTTTTTTTATCCACAACGAGGAAGCTCTTAGCCTGTATCTCACCTGATGGTAAGTGATGATCAGGCCGAAGGTGGAAGCGAGCTTCACCCGGAATCCTCAACCACGGAGGAACTGGCTATCTTACCTCTAACTGCCGGAACACAACAATGCTGTTAACATTATTGTTATGGCGACAGACTTAGGTAAGATGGTAGTAGGTAGCCAGGCGGACTTAGAACAAGCCCTACCACCAACCAAACCGAACAGAAAAATCTGCCCTCACTGGGAATCGAACCCGGGACCTCTGCGTCTGAAGCAGGTGGTCTTACCACTAGACCACAGAGGCGGTATTGTTATAGTTGACATTAACAAGAGGGTGCTCCTATCAATCCGGGTCCAATGACAGTTTAACTTTCCCCCGGGACAAACTTGACCTTCATTGGTTGGGTTTTTATGGCGGTCAAGCTGTAGATCCTGGCTACACAGGAGTTGCAGTGGTGGGAATGAGAGGTGGGAATAGTCCCGTATCAATACTGGGTTTTTAGTTAAAATTTTTGCCACTTGACGTTTCAGAATCGTTTGATATTGGATTTTAAGTGCCGTCCAAAACCTAACGGTTCCTTTCCGTTTCCAGGTGTTCTACTACGAAATCCTGAACAGCCCAGACCGCGCGTGCCGGCTGGCGAAGGCGGCCTTCGACGACGCCATCGCCGAGCTCGACACGCTGTCCGAGGAGTCGTACAAGGACTCCACGCTCATCATGCAGCTGCTGCGCGACAACCTCACGCTGTGGACGTCCGACATGCAGGGCGACGGCGAGTCCGGTCAGTTCATGCGCTTTTTGAGACAGCTTTTACATTTGGGCGACTTTATGCCGAAAATTTCATGTTATATGACAGTGAATGCCTGCCTTCACATTATAAAAACGCCGCTGTCGCGCTTCTGACGCCTAAAAGTCTACTTGCAAACATTTTATGAATTTTAGTACACACGCGACCATGCTCTTGCTCGCTTAGCGCCCAGAAACTTTCAATGACAGCCTCCGAAAAGTCGAAATCAAATCTTTTATTCAGTACTTAGACCTTTTCCACGTTATACATGGGCTGGTGCTGTGAAGAGATGGCGGAAGAAACTATCACCTTAGTCACTCGGTCACTAGCAAAACGCACACTTGACGACTACAGACTTAGTATTTCAGACTAATAACCTGAACTTTTCTACAATTTCAATGACTATTGTCATCAGTCACATTATTACCAATCAAACCAAGTAAAATTGCCTTCTTGTAATTATGCAAACATTTTGTGTAAAACTGTGTAAAAAATTATTACTATTTTACAGGTTGAGCATTGGGAATGTGTGTTCAAAATGTTTGAATGTTGAATATTCTGTTGCAGGTGAAGCCGAACAGAAAGAACAAGCACAAGACGTGGAAGATCAGGACGTGTCGTAATACTTTTTAACTTCTATTTAAATATAATAAAAAAAATAACTATAGTTTCATATAAGACCCAGCCCTCGATGACAACAGTTGTAAAGGTATTTTCTGCAAATCTCACTATATCGCATCTGGGACATTAAGCTATTTATAAACATGTACACCGAGTAAATTATCAGTTGATATCTCAACACGATGGAGGAATACATAATAACTTTTGTTTATGTATTGTGTCAAATTATCTATGAGTAAATATACATTTTAAATATGTACTTCTTTTGATATATTTGTTTTCAATTACGAAAAAAAATAATGTTTAAGAAAAGTACTTTGGTATTGCATTTTAACTGTATGTTCTTAAGGATGTATCTTAACGTTGCTGATCTCCGGCGTCTCCTCTCGGCGCTACTCTGTAAGGTGGGAACTGTAAATTTTCTAAGTATTTTATACCGTGTTTAACGTATTTAACTCTGTTGATACTTTACGAGCACCATAGCGGCAAAATGTTTAATGAAAATATAGTAATAAATATATATTTAGTTTGGATATAATTATACTACATATGTAAACGTCTTATCATTGTGGATGTCATAGTTAATTTGTATCGTAATCGCATCGTCTGTGTTGATCGGTCTGCACAAATAGGACGCGTCGGCCGCCGTAGCTGCGCTTCAGACACTTGTCGTCGTACCCGCTTCGTTCGTATTACAACTTTTGGAGTATTCACACTTGAATTGCTTTAATTACTTACGAGTATTGTGATAGAGATTTTGTATATTTTAATTTATTCTTTTTTAATTTCGCATGTTCTCGAAAAAAAAATTGCTGTAGCGCTACATCTCTTACGATTTTTACAGGACAAACGGTAGTTCTAAAAGTTGTGCTAGGTTAAGGTTATGCACTTGTAATATTTATTGACGAGCCGTCGCTCGAACATTCCATCTCGCGCGCGCGGCGGGCCCCGGGGGCCGGCGGGGGCCCGGTGGGGGCCTGGGGACGGGCCCGGCGGGCCGGGGGCCGGGGCCCGCCGCGCGCTCGCTGGCACGGTGTGGAGCGAGTGCGTGCCCGAGTAAGATATTAGCGTTATTTTTATTTGAATTTGTAATATTGCATATATTTTGTTAATTTATCCACAAAAATACTGATGCAATTAGCCTTAGTGTTATGCAATATTGATTTATGTCCTACCAACTACATGGAAATTTATTGTAAATGACAGTGTAAATCTAATAATAAAATTCAAAAGTCCATATTTTCGTTTTATTCATAAACCTTTTTTAAAACCCTATTTTCTTCACTTTCCAAAACACTTCTTTGCATACGAATAAATTCCGAAGAACTTATGATAGCTCCATTATAGAATCAAAATTGTGCGTGAGTCGCACCGAAAACTTATTACGCTGGTTAAGACAATTTTATTAGAAAGTTTAGTGAACATTAAAATTGTTGATCTTTTAAAATGAAGAAAGAAGTTAATTTTAACAAAAATCAGGACCCTGGACATCATCTAGCACTAAAGTACTCGAAAAGACAAATCTAATGAACCCAAACTCGATGCGATTCCGCCGTTTCGTTAAGGAGTCCCTATGGCCACCTCCCGACTCCATCATCAGGACTATGGTCATCATTCAGCACCAAACGGGACTGCACGCAGAATGTGCACTTTGCAAAATGAGCATTTCGCGAAATGCGCACTTTCATACTAATATTATACAAAAACTCTTCAGCCTTTACATTTTTGTGTAGAAAAGCCCACATTTTGCGAAGTGCACATTCTGCGTCAGACCCCACCTAAAGTTCTCGGCAAGACAAATCCAACGAACCCAAGATGAGTTTCACCGTTTCGTTTAGTTCCTATGGCCACCTCTCGACTCCATCATCAGGACTACGGTCATCATTTAGCAACAAAGTGCTTGGGAAGACAAAACCAACGAACCCAAACTCGATAAGTTTTTGCCGTTACGTTTAGAAGTTCTTATGATCACTTCCTAACTCCATTATCAGGACCCTGGACATCTAGCACTAAAGTGCTCGAAAAGACAAATCCAATAAACCCAAACTTGATGAGTTTCCGCAGTTTCGTTTAGGAGTTCCTATGGTCACCTCCTACCCGACTCCATGAGATGATGATTTCCGGGCGCAAATACTTGATTGAATAACATAAGAAAAAATGAAAAACAATATCCGTGCCTATAAAATTTGAGGGTTGCCCTCAATTTCGCTAGGATCCCATCATCAGATCTTGAGTATGTGACAATGGGACCAACTCGGGAGTATACCCTATCGAATAAAAAATTTTTGGAAAAGTTTTGCGGTAACATACGTTAAAAAAAACACTCAAATAGAGAACCTCCTTTTTTTGGAGTCGGTCAAAAATAAAGTGGACTGTATAGTCAGCGTCAAATATTTCGTGACACCAAAAAACTGACTATTTTCGTAAAAGGAAGCTCTAAAGTAAGCGATATTACCACGTACAATTCACAGAAAAATTGCCCGAAATTCGTACACTATAAAGAAGAACGGTCACGCCCCATACAAAAAATACCCAGACCCGACAGAAACGAGACATACCTCAATTTTTTTGTCATGTCTTAATTAGTTAAATTATATATTTTTTATATTCGAAATCTATGTACAACACCAAAATATTACCCTTTGTTTTTGTTCAGGCGCTATACAAAAACTAATACAAAATGCCTATTTATCACCAAAATTGGTAAATGTAGGTATGTACCTAAATGTCTATTACAGCTGCTATGGAATGTATCTAGGTGACCTGGAGATACAACCGGATTATACAGGGTGGTTATACATATGGAACGATAAGTGATCTCACTCGATTATTTCTAAACTATACAAGATATCGAAAAACTAGTTACTGATTCTGAAAGTGCTTCACAAGCTCTTTCAAATGGTACCAATAATAAGTTACAGATTATGGAAGCTGGTAACATTGAATTTTTAGATTTTGTAACTTCTCGTTTCCACCCTGTATAATCCGGCTGTATCTTTAGGTCACCTAGATACATTCCATAGCAGTTATTTAGGTACCTACATATATTTACCAATTTTGGTGATAAATAGGCATTTTGTATTAGTTTTTGTATGACGCCTGAACAAAAACAAAGGGTAATATCTAGGTGACCTGGAGATACAACCGGATTATACAGGGTGGTTATACATATGGAACGATAAGTGATCTCACTCGATTATTTCTAAACTATACAAGATATCGAAAAACTAGTTACTGATTCTGAAAGTGCTTCACAAGCTCTTTCAAATGGTACCAATAATAAGTTACAGATTATGGAAGCTGGTAACATTGAATTTTTAGATTTTGTAACTTCTCGTTTCCACCCTGTATAATCCGGCTGTATCTTTAGGTCACCTAGATACATTCCATAGCAGTTATTTAGGTACCTACATATATTTACCAATTTTGGTGATAAATAGGCATTTTGTATTAGTTTTTGTATGACGCCTGAACAAAAACAAAGGGTAATAATTTGGTATTATACATAGATTTCGAATATAAAAAATATATAATTTAACTAATTAAGACATGACAAAAAAACTGAGGTATGTCTCGTTTCTGTCGGGCCTGGGTCACAGATGACCGATCTTCTTTAAAAATGTTTACGGTACGGTCGCGACGACCACAAATGAAAAAAAAATTGTCAAGACTGATATTTAGAACCAAACTATAAAAATTTACCCCATATCGAAACAGATTAACACGCTGGAAAACGTAACAGACAAAAATTTGAATAGGTTTTTTACATTTTTATGACATTCATTACCCACATTAGGTTATGTGCATGTGGATTGAGTGATCCTTGCTTCAATCTTAACAAAAATCGAGGAAGTTTTACTTAAAATATGTTAAAACATTGCGATGAAGTTCAAAAATTTGTTAAACCTAAGATAAAAATGTTATGGCCAATAAATAGGAGCACTCATACCGCACGCTTTAAGAAAACGTCAACATGTTTATTTCAGAAAATAAAGCCTTTCCACTTCTTTTTATAGTATTGAAAAATTGTTAAGAATATGTTAAAACCCATGGTTAAAACTATAGTTCCAAAATACTGGACTGTCCTGTCGATGACATTGACAGTGGGGCGCCACTGTCTATACCGGATCGCTGGTTCAGATTTTTGCCATGTTGGAAACCATATAGTTGAACGATGGTAGCGCCCCCCTGTCATTGAGTTTGGTGGGACAGTTCAGCGTGGGTCATCTATAAAGTAGGTATTTCGCGCTGTCAAAATCTGCGCACGCAATACTTCGCCGAAGACAGCGCGCCAAAGAGCTCTAACGGCTACACAGTATAGAAATACGCAGTTTAGAAATACGCAGTTAGTTAGGTTTTCTAATACAAATCATATCCAAGTGATACAAATTAAAACAACTTTCAAAATTTTTGGGAACATATTTTAGAATCGAATAAATATAGAATATAACTGCCAAAGTNCGGGGGCCTGGGGACGGGCCCGGCGGGCCGGGGGGCCGGCCGGGGCCCGCCGCGCGCTCGCTGGCACGGTGTGGAGCGAGTGCGTGCCCGAGTAAGATATTAGCGTTATTTTTATTTGAATTTGTAATATTGCATATATTTTGTTAATTTATCCACAAAAATACTGATGCAATTAGCCTTAGTGTTATGCAATATTGATTTATGTCCTACCAACTACATGGAAATTTATTGTAAATGACAGTGTAAATCTAATAATAAAATTCAAAAGTCCATATTTTCGTTTTATTCATAAACCTTTTTTTAACCCTATTTTCTTCTCTTTCTTAAATTGTGCGTGAGACGCACCGAAAACTTATTATTACGCTGTTTAAGGACATTTTATTAGAAAGTTTAGTGTAAAATTGTTGATCTTTTAAAATGAAAGAAGTTAATTTTAACAAAAATCAGGACCCTGGACATCATCTAGCACAAGAGCTCGAAAAGACGAATCTAATGAACCCAAACTCGATGCGATTCCGCCGTTTCGTTTAGGATATCCTATGGCCACCTCCCGACTCCATCATCAGGACTATGGTCATCATTCAGCACCAAAGGGGACTAACGCAGAATGTGCACTTCGCAAAATGAACATTTCGCGACATGCTCACTTTTTTATACTAATATTATACAAACACTGTTGGCGCTTCTCGGGTCCTCGGGCTTCTTCGACATCGATCGGCCATCATCGTCTCCGCGCGAGGCGCCGGCACACTCCGTACGTGCCCGACGCCCACTCAGCCTCACGACCGTCACCGGTGTCAGACGCGGCCCTCCCACGTAGGCGCGACTAGCGATATATTTTACAATCATTATACCTATGAAATACAGTCCGCTTTTAATTTATATCTAACGTCTAGTAAGACCCTAACAAACACTCTTTTCAGCCTTTACATTTTTGTGTAGATAAGTCCGCATTTTGCGAAGTGCACATTCTGCGTCAGACCCCACACCTAAGTTCTCGGCAAGACAAATCCAACGAACCCAAACTCGATGAGTTTCCACCTTCCGGTTCCTATGGCCACCTCCCGACTCTATCATCAGGACTATGGTCATCATTTAGCACCAAAGTGCTCGGGAAGACAAAACCAACGAAGCCAAACTCAATAAGTTTCTGCCGTTACGTTTAGAAGTTCTTATGGTCACTTCCTGACTACATTATCAGGACCCTGGACATCTAGCACTAAAGTGCTCGAAAAGGCAAATCCAATAAACTCAAACTTGACGAGTTTCCGCCGTTTCATTTAGGGACTTCCTATGGCCACCTCCTACCTGACTCCATCATCAGGACCCTGGACATC